TTTGAAGGCTACATTCACTCAGTTTTGCAACATTAAATTTAAATGCTATTCAGGTTTCAGCATTAGAGAACAAGTAAAGGTTAAGGGTCTGTAAAAATGCCATCCTATTCTCTGGCTTCATATCCTGGCTTAATGCCAGAATTTAAAATAAAAAAAGATCATTGTGAGGAAGCATGTTAGGACCTGAGGTCAGTGAAATTCCTGTTGTCTACTCAAAGAGATCTGTCACTAGTGACCCAAGAATTCAAGCTATGTTAAAGAACTCTCATGTGGGATTTGGAATGAAGCTCTGGAGGAAAGAGTCACTCACCTCCTTTTCATTTATCTGACTCGAGTGCAGGTGTGATGGTGGAAAGAGGTTTCCCCTATTGGGATGCCCTTCTCTAGCTTCTCAGAGAGGCCCCAATCTGCTGCCCACTGGAAGGGCCATGGTCAAGTCAAAGCATCAAGAGATCTGAGAGTCCTTTTGGGTAAGAGAATGTCTCCATGAAAGGCTCCCAGCATCCAGTCTCCATGAGTCTCTGACAAGTTGAACACTTGCCCATGGTCACAAACGAGGTCACATAGTAACAGGATGGTTTTGGAGTTCGCTTGGTCTAGCTCTAAAGTCCATGCTAACAGCCATTACGCTCTATGACCTGTCTCAGTCACACATGCATTTCCCAACGCCCTAGAGTCATTCAGAACTCACACTGAGGACCTGCCACTCCATAGCTTAGCCCAAGCAGCTGGCTGAATCACCATTTTCATTCTTCCTTTTCCTCTCCCACTTCTGTTTCCTTCTGGATAATTTACAAAAGTCCTTCAATTTGTTATAAGCAAAGGAAATTAGACAAAGAGACCAAATTGGAGGGAAGGGAGTAAGAAAGTCCGAGAATTCATCTTGGTGTGGACAGGAAAGAGAGAACGTACCAGCTCATCTGAGAGCAAGGCGTTGGACCACCTACTGTACATAGAGAGGCAGACTTTTAAAATAATTCCTTAATCAGACATCATATTGGGACATTATTCTTTATTTGCTTGGACTAAACATATCTATGTGATTAGTTTATTGTCTGCTTCATGCTGTTTACCAGAGGACTGAGAAATATTTTTGTTTAATTACTGGCCTCCAATTTGCTGAGCTCCTTTTCAATAGAATCATTAATTACAGGTGGAAAGCACCCTCTTCCTGTAACATTACCCTCTTGAATTCCATAACAGACTTCTTTATGTGTCCTTTGGGTGCTCTCTCTTTGGATACCAATGCTTTTCCCAATCTCTTACCTTACTTTTCATTTTCTGTGCAAATAGTCATGAAGCAGGGCACATTCATCTGGGTAGAGGAATATGGAGATTCCTGGGTTATTCTAACAATGAATCAAGTTCGGACTCTATGTTAGTTTATGTGAAGAATACAAACATCTTTGTCTTTTGATAAGCCTCTCCTAGCCTTGTTAACACATTGTGCTTTTAAAAAACAAAGGGCTGGAAGATGAGGATGTACCATATTTTTGAGCCAGCAGTAGAAGGGCATTTGACCTGCATTCACAATTCCCCCTGGCTTAAAAATATTCTGATTCATACAATAGATACAGGGATGACGGTGGGTGGGGGGACCAAGGGAGTTAAATTTAAAGAAAAAAATCAGCAACTTCAAATAATAAAATCTAATTGATTACCCTTAAACATGTCACATAACAGTCCTCGTTTGACAACACAGAAACTATTACAGAAGATACTGCCAAATTCTGAACTGTACGATGACCTTTTATTCTGAGCAATTGGAAAGTTGTAAATGGGGTTTGGGAGGGGATCAGTTTGTTCTGGTAAGTTTTAAGTGGGTCCATGACTGTAACATCTTCCTGATGTTGTATAAAGTGGCACTCAGTAGCCATTAACGAATGAATTCACATTTGTTTTAATGGGATTGGTTTTGTTTTCTGATTGATGATAGATTCACTAAGGAACTCAGCTAAAGCCTGAGAGAAAAGTCCTCACTACCTATATTTTCAAGACTGAAAACATGCTAGATGGGAAGTAACTTTGAAGAAATAACTTGTTTCTGATATGTATTTATCAAATATAATTCTGTTTATTTTTCAGACCCAGATAATTTTAGTTATTAAATATGCTTATGAGATAGAAAACTGTTGATTTCAATAGAGCATGCATTCTTCTATTTTGATTTTTTTACTTATGATTTATTGAATGACATTCTTGTATAGCTATATTTTAAAAACACAAACAGTTGCAAACATCTAATGATAATATCTGCAAGAAACTGGAAAAAACGTTAAGATACCATTTTATACACCGTGGTCTGTAATAATGATTTTAGTTCAATTTTGTCCCCATGTCTTATGCCAAGAAAGACTGATTTATAAAGCATGTTCCTCTACCCAGAACCAGATAATACTGGAGATAATTACTATGCCTGGTTAGAATTTAAGAGCAATTTCCTGAGGCACCACTTGTAAAAGTGAAAGAACATACATTGGAATGAGTACTGGTTGGCTATATATTAAAAGGAAAATAAGGAATTGGTGCACAGAGCCCATTTTTCAATATCAGTTTAAATAATACATCATCCTGAAGATCTCATAGAACCCTTCAGTGTGTGCTTTTACTATATGGATACATAAACTTTTTAAACTTTTGTTTGTTTGTTTGTTTGTTTGTTTGTTTTGGGCATATAGAAAAACCAAATCAATTATAGTCCAATTCCATACAATTTATTTGCAAATATCAGTGCTTTATCAGCCAAAAGTAAGAGGTAATAAGATCTAAAGCACAATTTGGATTTCTCCTAGAAATCAAACTATATTTTTACATCAAATAAAGAGAAAATTGTTACCTGTGTTAATAAACATCTTATTATATTTAACATTTTAAAAGAACACTGAAAATGGAAAGAACATTGTTTTATTTTACCTTTGAAAGAAACCCATTAAATTTTAAAAGAAAATTAATTTTGAAGATTTAACACATAATTCAACTTAAAAAAAAAGAAAAAGATGCTCTTTTAGCTTAAGGTAGACCAGTAATAGGTTCATTTAATCTTGTTTTAGAAAACGACTGTGAACTATTCTTCACATATTTTTAGGGTCTTTAAATTTATCCATGCCTTAAGAATGATATTTTCTTCTTATGAAGTTGGAAAAACCAAATGAGGGAGTGAGCAGACCTTTGGAAAATTAAAATAAAAAATCAATTAAATGGTTTAGGCCATTGTTTGGGTTTTTTAAAAACATAATTTTTTTACTTATTTATCTTTGAATAATTAACTTGGATAAATCTTTAGTTTCAGTTACTTGATTTACCAAGGGAAAATTTAAAAATATAGATTTTCTAGATGCTTAGTTCAGAGAAGATGATGTTATAGTATGGGAGGATTTAAAAAAACAAAAGCTTTTCTTTCTTTCTAGATTAAAGAAACAAAAGGCAGATAGTTTTTAACATAAATATCTATTAGAAAACAAATATATTTAAAGCAATGAGTAACAACAAATCCCATTAAGTATTAAACATTTTAGTTATTAAATATGTTCAAATAAGGGTTCCTAACACTTCTGCACTGCAGAAGCACACTGATTATAGAGCTCAGACTGTTATGTTCTCATGTCAGTTTATTTTTGGCATAAACGTATCTAAAGTCACATCTAAATAAATGTGATAATAGATAAACCATTAGTAACTTACTGTTGATTGATTCCTAAATCTTTCACAAACTATCATTATCTGATTGACATATCCTTAGGGTGAATACTTTTATGAACCCTTGCTTTTACACCAAATACAACACTGAATTAATCTTCTTTAAAGTTAGTCGTACTAGTAAAGTTATTTAAAACTGAATTCAAAACTGTTTCTGTTTCTATTGGCACAATAAAAATTAACATTTTGTAAGTAAACTGTTTTGTATCAAAAGTTAGAAAATGAAATGGCACATATAGAACAGGTTTTGATGAGAGTAAGCAATCATTTATAATGGAGCTTTTTCAGTACATGATGTCTGTAAGCACCCTTTCATGGGTAAAGTTTCCCTTTGTAATTGCTAGAAGTTTCCCTTTCCAATGTGTAGAGAACACAGAGAAATACAGTCTTACTGTATTTTCAAAGATATCCTATAGAAAACATTACAGTTTTAAACTTTTTTTTTTTTTTTTAAGAAAAAAAGCAAAAAACAAACCCAATATCATTTTCTTCCCTTGTGTATAGTACACATTCATGAATGTCCATTAGGCACAAGGGAAATTGTTTATACCACATAAGGAACTCTCTAATAGTGAGATTATCAAACATGGTGAAATGACCAATGGGTTCCATTCAGTGAGCAAGAGGAAAACAAATGCAAGAAGATTTGTTTTAATCACTAAACATCGCAGGTTTTAATTTTTAAAAACAATGTTTGTAAACTTGCCCACAAAAGCTGGGTAGTATTAGCCAGTAAGGCACTTTGTCAGCAGACGAAGTAGTAAAGGCTGGATGATTGGCAATTTGCTTAACAGGAAACACTCTATACTAAAGACAGCAAAGACTGGAGTGGGTGGTCCTTTTACTTGTTTACTGTCAAACAGGAGTGGGGAAAGCCCTAAAAATGTTTATTTCACTTTGTTTACCAATTTTCCCTGCAGAAGAAGTCTTTTAGTTGTCATCTTAAAAATATATTAGGAGCTATCAATTTAATAGTGTACCCTTTTTCAATCTAATATCTAAAAGAATATTAACACAGTAGATGTATTTTCAAAACATCCAAGCCACTCTTATTTAAAAATGAATTACAAAACAAAAGATCTTAGTATAAAAATGTTCCATGTTATTAACAATTCCCTTGCAACTTCTGATGGCTTCACATTATTACAATATAAGCTTTGGTATAAAACATGCAAATACAAGCCAACAAGGTTGTGAATACAGTATCGCCAAACACAAAGCACTTATGAAACAAGTGTTGCGCAGACAGCAGATTCGGGAAGATAACACGCAGCAGGATGACCAGTTCGTTCTTCTACTGGTTCTTATTTATCTCTCTCCATCAAAATCTTCATCAGAGATTGACTCACGAAATAGGGTCTTATTCTAGAACCTTCGTTTCGTTCTAAGTCTTCCACTAGGAGGAAGAATGGCACAGAGTTAAGTATCAAAGAAAAACTGTAAGAGAAGTAACATCGCCATCTGCTGCATACTTGTTTTACAGCAATTCACAATATCACTTTTTTTTAAAACAGTTAACGTTTTTGTAAACATAGGTATGAAAAAACAATCAGCCCTTGTTATCATGATAGCAAAATATTAGCTCATTCTGTCTACCAGGTCAGATTTTGCCAATATGGAATGTCTGTCAGTTGCACGGTCAAGGAAATAACTTTTACTTTCTTTTTCTCCATTTACTTCCTAAATTACCATATTGGTTCAAGATATTGTTGTTTTGACACCAACAACATAGACAGTACAGCTTTGAAAGATAACATTTGTACAATTTTAGTGGATGGTATTTTCAGATCCCTCAAATGAAAGTTTTGAGAAATATTGCTCTGTTTTTACAGTTATTAGTTTACTTGTTCTGTAAGACAATGGCTTCTAAATTTCTTTTCAAAAACAATGCTCATTTTTACTCTAAGCATTTCAGTTACACAAAGAACTAATAGAGAATATCTTTCTGACTAGGAATAAGCCAATAATACAGTTAAACAGGCAACTGTTTCTTACATGTTGACTTAAATTTATTCAAGTGATTTTTCCAACTTTTATGTGTGTTGGGATCAACTAGAGAAGTTCATACATTTGAAGGTCCTTGTTCAAGCACAACATATCATAATCACTTGGGTAGGGCAAGGGCATCGATCTGTATTTATAACAAGTTCACTGATAGAGGTTACTGTTTTACTAGATCTTTGTTGTGGCCCTTGTATTATTGAACAACAAAGTAATAGTAAAAATCTAGAAAGATAAGCAATCACTCTTTTTTTGCATTATGCTTCAAGAAGAATGAAAATTAAGAGTTTTTTATTTTTGCCAAGAAGTGAGGCCAGGTGACACTGTTGACTACAATAAACTCAAGAAAGAATGCTAAGAACAAGTTGCTGGTCCATAGGATGGATATTTTGAAAATCTTTTCTATTCATTGGCTATATACTATTAAGCTGCCATAATAAGTCTAAATCTAGCTTCCTACACATTTCAGTGTAATTAAGTAAGTTAGTATTTATAGTAATTTGTAACACAATAATACATTTATTTATGACTCTCTTCTTGGATATGCAGATCATGTTCCAATCAACATGTCAGGTCAACGTGTTCCATTCAGCCAATCCTTATAGGAAAGCTGAGTGTAAAAGCCAAAAGGATGCCAACTGGTTCAGTGATTCTTTTGGGTTTCATTTTTACACTGTTAGCTGCATCATATGCATTTGCACAAGGAGGGGCAGGCAGGTATGTGAGCATCTGAATCATACTTTACTCTGTTGTGCAAGACTTAGGCATGGCTTACCAGAAACCGGCTTTTTGCTCTGACCAGCAGCAGTGGAGGGTGCTATAACACTTCTCTTAAGCCCTGGAGAAAGAGATTTCCTAACCTGGAGCATGTCCATTGTACAGGTACCAGATGAGGTACCTAATGGAGGACCAGTAACATATTTCCTTAGGGTAAATACTGAAGTGTCTTACTTATCTCTTCTCTTTCCTCACTGAAGATTGAGCTAAATTTTAACCTTTTGTAGAAAAAAGCCACATAATCCTTATAATCTAGAACTATAGGTATTATCATGACAAGAAAAATCACTTGTCTGAAGCAAATCCATATTAATTTTATACATGGTTGGAGTAGGAAATTCTGGCTGGAGATGAAAGGCCTGAGTTACGTGGCAATTTCAGTTCAGAATATTCTCATGGTTATTGGAGGCTCCTATTATTGGAAATGACATTCTAGAACTCAGATTTGACTTCAATATAAATATAATTTCACTAAAACAGAATGGACTGTGAAGGTTCTTCACTACCTTCACCCAGTAATGCTCTGTAGAACTTGTGTGACAATAACATCTAGATGATTGTTACGGACTTGACTCACATACCGAAATATACTTTTTAAGGAACCATTAATACACACTTAATCACAGTTTGGAGAGTTGTCCACCAGCTTGAACAATATAAACAAAACCATAGCACCATATTTACAAATTTAGTACCTTATGCTGGTTAACTATAAACAATATTTTTATGGCTAACTAATTACACATTTATAGTGCTTTCAAAAGTTGCATGAATATCCTTTACAAATATACACTTATAAAAAGAAAGGCTATCAAAGTGCTGTAATGGAAATAGCACACCATTATAAAAGTTATTAAAACACTTTCTGCTATAGATTTTTAAAAATGATTGACATTAACACTTTGCTCTTCGGCTAGGACCACAGTCTATAAAGTAGACTACTTCACAGAGGTCATTGTCCTCAAGAGTCTGACACTTCAGATAGTGCCAAGTGCTGACTTTTTAGAAAGAGCACAGAAATTTCACATTACCCCAAAGCAACATTTTCAAATTACACTTGGCCTAGTTTACAAAACTTCAACTTAAGTGTGGGTGGCACTGCTGGGAGAGTTTCTACTCTGCCTCTGGGGAGCTGGATGCTTCTTGATCAGAATCCCATGCAGGCTAGGGGATATGAAGTAGGGTTTTTCTGCAGATCCATCATTTCTTTCCAGATCTTCACCTGTGAATGCAGCAGCCAAAGCAGGGCAAAAGCAGCAAGCAGCAGAACAATCATACACATTTTTATAAATTGGAGAATAGAACAGGGAAAAATCAGAGAAATCAGAATTAGTCAAATATAAGAGAAATTAACACAGTTAAGTTGCTGATGCTGGACAAGGCGAGAGGCCCCCACTTCTGCCCAGAAGCATTGGCCCTTCACACTAGTCCTCTCCACTCCCAAAGAAATTTATTCAGATAGTTTCAAAGTTAACAAGGCTATCCATGTCAATGGTTATCTTTAAATACTATGACTGTTCCTTTCAGAAACTTATAAAGGGCCACATTCCTGGGGATGAAGTTGAAAAAGAACTATATTAATTGTGTGATAAATGTAGAATAATAGTTGGATATCAGAATTTAAAGTCACTTTTGATAGTAGTCCATATACTGATGTTGCAGCTCCTCCAAGCTGAGGCCCAGGGGTGTAAAATAGCTGAATGTGATCTGGGAGGCAGTGAGGAAGAGAGGGCCAGGCTCTGGATGTCTAGGCCAACTCTCATCCTATTGAACTATAAAGCTCCCTCCCCTAAGTCCTTGTGGTCTACCTCAGATTACATTTCAAGGCGAATGCCAGGGTTCACTGACTTCTCTCATATGTGAATTTACCTTCCTCTTCGCTTGCTGAAGTGAATAGGAAAACGATGGCACTGTCACTGACCCACCTACTGGGTGGCTGGGGGGAGCCTCAGAACTATGATCAGCAGCTAGGAGAAATTTGCATGGGACCAAGTTTCCAGTGAATATATATGATTCACAGCACAGATTATCTAGATTCTTTGGGGAAGCTGGATTATTGACTTAGTAGATTTTTATATTAGAACTCACAGTGACCTTCCTTACACACAAAATGAAAAAGCTAGGAAGGAACATGATAGACAATGCACATTTTTGTTGTTGTTGTTGTTTTTCTTGTCCTTAACCTTATTTCTATATAATATCACATGTTATATATCTGTATCATTTTTACCCTTGAGGTAGCAAGCCTGGTCTGGATCATGAATAATGATCTACCACTATTATTTTTTCCCAGCATAATGGATATAAAAAGATATATAAAAAACAAAAAGTATCCAACACAACCAGAATTTGGCTGAGGGTATCACTTAAGAAGAAAGTCTCCAGAGTATGATGCTGCCTCTCAGAATAACTGGGAGGGAAGAGGAATGCCACCCAGTTTCCCTTGTTCTCTATTATCAGAGACAATAGTCTTTGAAAAAGAAACTGTGTCAACACACACTGTATTGAATAAAACTGACATTACACTCATCTTCAAGAAGTTGGAAATCTATTAATAAATATAGATGGAAAATATGTTGTTTTAATTTCCTAAGTTAAAAGTACACTGACAAATTTTAAATCAACATTATTAGCCTAAGCTTTCAAAGACTGAGTACTGGTAGGTTCTAGACATTTCCTAAGATGAATTTTTTTTTTTATTTTTTATTTATTTATTTTTTTTAGTTTTCGGTGGGCACAACATCTTTGTTTGTATGTGGTGCTGAGGATCGAACCCGGGCCGCACACACGACAGGCAAGCGCGCTACCGCTTGAGCCACATCCCCAGCCCCTCCTAAGATGAATTTTAAGAAATATTTTAAGTTACAAGAATAAAGATCATAGATAGATCTCCAAATAGTGCCTATGATGAGCATCTGAGATGACAGAGCCCCTTCTCTATGATGGCTGAGGCATAGCCTAAGGACCATATGCCTTCCTCCATCCCATGACAAAGCTGGAATTTTCTCATGTGTTCTAAATATGACTTTTCTTTTTTAAAAAAATACAAAAAACAGAGATACTAGTAAAGGATTAAACTTTTCTGTTCCATTTACAGCCAGAGGAAAGGCTAAGTGGTACACAAAGATTCTCTGATTTCTTTGTCCAGTTATTTAAATTATTTCTTAACATGTTCAGAAAGAAAAAAAAAGGTCATTATTTTCTAGGAGATTTTTCTTCACATATTTTACCTTATAATCATTATATCCTCTCATGACCCCAGTGTGAAATTGATGCTGTAGGTTACTCTATAAAAATACTGATAGTTTTATACACATGGATTGCTCAGTAATGCCCTGTACAAAAATAAGTTTTCTCTGCTCTTTTAAGAGCAACATGTCAGAGACATCATATCTCCAGGTATATAACTGTATGCCTAATGGATTCTGTTATCTCACTGGCTGACCCTACGTTCTTTAGGTTTGCCACAGAGATGTCACTGAAGGTGAAAGCCAGATCAAAATCCTGATGGGCACCAGGTTTTCTGGGTTATTATTTTACATGAGGTGCTAATATAAAGCATTTGTTCTGTGTATGTGAATTGCACATGCCACCCAGGGGCTCAGTGGTAAAAGAGGCATTGAAACTCTTAAGGTTCTAAATGGATCCAACCACTTCCCCTATATCCATGTGTTATGCTGTTACATTGTATGAGTTGACAGTATGGATTTTTGAAACTGTTGCCATCTTGGCTTTGCAAGTGATCTCCTCAAAGAATTCCCAAAACCCAGTGCACAAAGTTCAGTTACATCCTCAGTTCTGTTCACAAAGCACATCAGAAGTCCATCACTGTTGTAAATTTGAAAAAATATTAAGAACTGAAAAAATAATTTCATGCTAGTACTCAGCCATGACCCAAAACATTCATTTTTAGTAGATGACTTTCTTGTGCTTGGTAAACTGTTCTCTCCACTGTTGAAGTTCTGTTTTGTTTCTCTATCTCTTTAATTTTTATTTTTGTAAGTGTGGGTGATTTTGTAATTTCTCCACAGTTTACTAAGGTATAATTTCCCCAGCTTTATTGAGGTTTGAATGACAAATAACAAATTGTATATATTTAAGGCATGGAGTGTTCTGATACACATACATATTGTGGTGTGGTTACGGAAATCAAGCTAATTAACATATCCATCATCTCACATAGTTATCTTTTTTGTGTGTGTTTGGTGAGGTTGCTTAAGATTTCTCATAGCCAATTCCAAGTATATAATATAGTTTTGTTAATTATGATGACCATGGTGTACATGAGATTTCCAAACTTGTTATCCTGCAACTGCAATTTTGTTCTCATTGAAAAAAAAATTTCCTTGGGTTCCTCACCCCTTGGTTCCTGCTCTGCATTCTTCTCCTTTCTTGAGTTTGCATTCTTAGATTCTATATATAAATGAGATTAAGCAATATTTGTTTCTCTGTCTCTGGGTTATTTCCCAGCTGTTAAGGTTTAAAGAGTATATACTAAGCAATGTCTCCTTCCAAATAAATACTGCTTTGTGCTTGTAGCTGGGTAATAACAAACCCACAAATCAGCTAGAAATGTGGGTCCTCACCTTCTCACCTGTCAGTTATCCAGGAAAGGGGGTATTACACATACTGAATACTTACAGAAGCAGAGGAAAATTGTTTCAACACACATTGAATAGACGCTGAAGCACCCCTTAGCAATTAGATAAGATCCAAAAATGACAGTCTGAAATGGATAGAGAAGAAAATCAGCATGTCATTGACTTTGTCCAGAACAACAATGCAGGTGAAAATGAAAGTCATGGCAATAAAGCTTTGAAAATTCTGTTAGATTTCAAAGTAGAGACCAAAAATATTAATAATGCTTTTGTGTGCTCTGTCCTGAGACTTAAAGAAAATGTACTAGATTGCCTATTTGTTTTTTTTTTCTGCTGTCCCAATGCCTATCCCAAATATCCCAGTTTTAGGATACAGCATACCAAGTCAGTAAAGCAAAGGGATTAAAAGCAAATACTTCCTGGGTTTGAATCACTGCTCAGGGGCTCAACAAGTTAACCTCTCTGGGCCCCTTATATTAAACTGGCAGTAGAGAAGACAAGAATGTGGGTAACAACAGCATTTATTCCATAGGGATGAGTGAGGTAATACATTATAACAGAGACTCCAGACTTCACCCAGATATCCTCCAGTTGCCTCATCATCTATCTAGATGTTGGGATAATTCAGCAGATTTCCTGACCAGGAACTGCTCTGCCCACAGGGAACCACTTCACTGGAGGGCAACACCCCTAAGGGCAGTTCATGGCTGCCAGGTGCCTGGTGAGGCTGATGAAGGCCCAGATCCTTTGCCAGAATTTAATTGTAATTATGTCTGTGGTCTCAGCTATAACTGCAGCAGAGGTCAGCTTTTTCTGTTACCCTGTCCTGCCCTCCTGGCTTTCTTACAAATGTACCTTAGCAGAGAACTAATAAAAAACTTTCTACATGAATTTCTTTGTGTCAACAGTTGTTTTCAAGAAACCTAATCTCTAAAGCAGAATGGAGGTTGGCACAAAGTTAGATCCATAATGTTAGCTGTCATTTTGACTGCTCTTTTTTTTTTTTTTTTAATTTCCCTATCTCTGATAAATCAGAGTCAACAATACTCAGCTGCTATCAGCTGCTATGGACTGAATTGTGCTCCCCTCAACCCCAATTCTCATGCTGAAACCCTAATCCCTGATGTGATGGAATTGGAAGATAAGTCTTGTGGACAATTAGTTCAGAAGAGTGGTACCCTTATAGAGGGATTAATGCCCTTATAAGAAGGGACATGAAAGACACCTCTCTCTCTCTCTTCCTCTCTCTCTTTCCCCACCACATAAACCAACAGTAAGGTATCCATCTGTGTACTAGGACGAGGGCCTCCAGAAATGGAATCAACTAAGAATAAATTTCTATTGTTTAAGTGATCCAGTCTATGGTACCTATAGCAACCTCAGCTGACTAAGACACCAGTTCTTACCAGCAATGGTACCCAGTAGTAATTTAAAGATGTTGGTCCTTGTATAATCGTTGGTATTTTTTGTGTGAAGATCAAGAAGGCCAGGATACCTACATTGAAAAGGCAGAACACATATATTATGCACTTATAAAAGCGGTAGCTTTTTGCAGCAGAGCATTTTCCAAAGCATCTTTTCAACTTTTTATTATTTTTTAGTAGTAGTACTTACCTATAAACCCAGAAATTAGAATTTTCCCCAGGAACAATATAAAGTGTGTAACTTCATCTGTAACTGCAACTCTGAGTATCAGAAAAAAAGAAAGTATAACTTTATGTTTAAAATGCACTTGTTACTTGAAATTTATAAGAGTAAATAATTCATGAGTTCTTTTTAATAGGTCTTTGCTAAAATTTCATTCAACAATCGTTAAATAAAAGAAATAAAAGTAGAACCCAGAGACAAAATTCTAACTTATTTTTAAATGAAATAAACAGAAGATGGCATTGTAGGCCTGTCGGGTATCATGCAATCTGAGGTATCAGCCTCTCCTCTCCCTTTCTCTCTCTCCCTCCCCCCCCCCCCCCCCCCCGCCCCCTCATTGAGGTTATAGACACCCTGAATCCTGAAGATGCTGTATTTATTCTCCAATTTTGTTCACTCAGTCTCCATCAATTTTGGGAGAGGATATGGTCAGTGATAAGACAACAATGTGGTTCATCTGGGGAATTTCTTAAGCAAAAGAGATAATAAAAATGAACAAATGGGGGCTGGGATTGTGACTCAGTGGTAGAGCGCTTGCCTAGCACGTGTGAGGCACTGGGTTCAATCCTCAGCACCACATAAAAATAAATAGATAAAACAAAGATATTGTGTTCACCTACAACTAAATTTAAAAAAAAAGAACAAATGCCAGTGTATATAAAAATCTAGGTGGATGATGAAAAACAATTCTAGGATATGAAAAGAAATTAGTGATGTGAGAGAGAAGATTTAAATCTATCAAATTAAAGTAACATTCTTGCCTAACAAGGCTACCAATACTTCAAATAACATATGAAGGATATAAATAACATATGAAGAATATAATGCTCAGGTTCATCAAACTGTTGCAAGTTTCAACCTGATTACTTACTTTATAATGTTTCTCATCAGCAGATTGAAAGCATCTCTTGTTGATATGCAGAAGTTTTTCCCATATATTGCAATCTGAGGAAAACAATTGATACTATTCTTGAGTCAGTAGCATACTCTGACACGACCAACAGACAATCCAATGATAGGAAAACAATTAGATATTTTTCTGTCATCCATACTGATGCCCTCCTCCTTCCAACATATGGGTTTGTGGGAGGCATGAGGACTGTGTGTTCCTCAACTCGGCAGAGCCCTCAGGGTCCCTGACATGATAATGTCCTTCACTTGCCCTAGACCCTGAACTCCAGGGGTTAGACTGCCTCCTACAGATGCACGTCTTTTTATCAAGTTTCAGGTAAGGACCGCTGTCCTTGGAATGTTTTGGATGGACTAAATATTATAGTCTTTACATCAAAAATTGCTCAAATCCAATGCCTTTCCCTGTATTTGTTTTGCTGATTAAAAGACTCAATAGAATACACTCACTGGAGGTAAATGAACAATTATTTGAATCTCCGTGACTATTTGAATCACTTCTCCAGACCCCTTTGTCACTGTGATAATAAGCAAGTGTCATATGGTAGTAGCTTCTAAAATTTAAGAAGATTAAATTTCTGAGTCCCCTCTTAAAAAAATATCTTTAGAAGTCGTCATATTCCCATGAGAAATACATAACAAATTCAGTCAAATGCTGTCAATATCTACACATTTTAACACAAGATTCACAAAAAATCATGAGGCCCTCCTTTCTTCAAATTATGTAAATCCCATAATTAGAAACATATTTTCTTATCAGAGTGAAACATCAACAAAGTTCTCCACCTACTCCTTCAAAGACCACACAATGGTTTTCAATCTAGCACCCTTTTAAGTTCCAGTACTTACACTCTCAAAAAAGATATTGAAGGTAACTATATCCCCAAGAGTACGATATAATTAAGATCCTGCCTCAACTACAGAAGCACAGCCCTGCATCTCAGGTTGGATTCACAAACCCTTTTATCAACATGGCAATGAGTTCAACTGCATTATATAAAAGTGCTTTAAAGGGAGCAGCATAGATCTGGGGTTGGGTTTGTAAGCAGTAGCTTGGTAAATTTTAAAAAAGAAACCTACTTACCATAATATAGGCATTTCTGTTTAAAAACTTTACCATTTTTTCCAAACACCAGAAACAGCATGTCAGGCAGCATTGTAGAAATTTGGAAATGCTGTTTTGGGCTTCTGTGAGAAGGAGATATTTAAATCTATTAATGATTTGTTTCTGAATCCTATGATTCAAAATAAATAATAATATTTAAATAAATAAATAATATGGTAAATAAAAAATATTAAAAATGGGCCTTACATTTTTCATTGTGGCAAAATAGACATAAAATTTGTCATTTTAATTATTCTTACATTTACAATTCAGTGGCCTTGAGCACATTTACAATGCTGTGCAACCATCACACAACCCATTTTCAGAACTCTTTATCATCTCAGACAGGAATTCTATAAGCATTCAACAATAATTCCTTGATGCCCACCTCCCACAGCTTCTTGTAACCTCTATTAGACTTTCTGTCCATAAGAATTTGCCTCTTTTGGGTCCCTCATAAGTGGGATCGTAAAAAATGTGTCATTTTTGTATCTTACGTATTTCACTTAACATAATGTCTTCAAGCTTCATCATTTCATTATTTTTTAAGGCTGACTAGTATTCTATTGAATGTATTCAACAAATTTAACTTTTGCCACATCTGTTAAAGGAAATTTGTATCATTTCCATCTTTCGACTATTGTTAATAATGCAGCTATGAACACTGTTGTGCAAATATCTTTTGAAGTCCTCATTTTCAATTTTTTGGAAATATATCTAGAAGAGGAACTTCTGGATGAATTGTAAATTCCATTTTTAACTTTTGAAGGAACTGCCATACTGTTTCCAACAGTGGTTGTTCCATTCTCACCAGTGATATACAAAGGTTCAATTTCTCTACATTCTCATCAACACTTTAATTTTCTGTTTTTGTTGTTGTTTTGATAGCCATTCTAAGGAGTGTGAAAATAATTTAATTGTGGTTTTAACTTTGCATTTTACAAATAGTGATATTGAGCATCTTTTCATGTCCCTATTGGCTATTTATGTATCGTTTTTGGAGTAATGTCCATTTAGCTCTTTGCCCATTTTGAACTATTTTTTCTTTTTTGCTGTTGATTTGTAGTTGCTCTTCATATACTCTGGAGATTAATCCTTTATCTGGCATATTATTTGCAAATATCTTCCACGGTGAGTTGTTGCTTCATTTACCTATAGTATTTTTTGATGCCCAAGTATTTTTAATTATTTTTTATTGATTCATGGTAATTATACATAATAGTGAGATTCATTATGCCACATTCATAGGATTTGATCAGTCATTCTCCAGTACCTTCCTTTTCCCTTCTCCTTCTTCCCCTCCTACACTCTATACTAATCTCCCTTCTATTGTTTTTATTATTATTTTATTTACAGCATTATAATTATATATATTGATATATAAGTGGGCTTTATTTATTGTGGTATACTTCTATATAAACATAGCATAATTTGCTAGATTTTGTTCCAAAACTTTTTTTTCCCCAAATTTTGGTACTTTCTCAGTTCCTTCCTGCCTCCCCGCTCCCCACCCTTTGAACTCTACTATTGATTGTCCTTAATTTTGAAGTCGTATTTATTTATTTATTTACTTTGCCCATGCTTTTGGTGTGATAGCTAAGAAATCATCACCAAATCCAATGTCATGAAGATTTCTTCCTATGTTTGCTTTTAAGAGTTTTATAGTATTAGCTGTTATGTTTAGCTCTTTGATCCATTTTGAATTAATTTTCATATTTGGTGTAAGGTGAGGGTCCAACTTCATACTTTCACATGTGGATATCCAGGTTTTCCAGCACTAGTAGTTGAGAGACTAATTTTCACAGCAAATGGTTTTATATGTGAGGGTTTATTTCTGAAATCTCTAGTCTATTGCAGGCCTTCATATCTATCCTTATGCTAATTCTACACTGCTTTAATTACTAGAGCTTTGTATTAAGTTTTGAACTAATTTTAGTTCAAAGGAATAGTTGTTCCTTTTCAAGGTTGTTTCAGCTATCTTTTAAGGCAGATTCTAAACACAGTTCCTGTGTTTGAACTCTGTGTATCATGTTAAAGGCTCTGTCAGTGATATTCACATTCATATTTTCAATCTAACCTGACCTGATCCCTAGGCGTGGAACTGCGTACCTGACATCACTACGCTTCCCATCAGTGACAAGATTAAAATAGATTTCTTAATCTTGCACTTTTTTTAAATCTGCTTCTCACGTCTTTATAAATAGGACCACACACTTTCCCCCCTCTTTTTCTTCACCAGTGCCCCTCCCTTTCCTGGCATTGGATCCTCCGGTGGCAAGTCCTGTTGGGTTGTTCTTCAAAATGTTTTCCAAATGTGACCATTTCCATCTTTACTACCCCAGTCCAAGTTAGTCATCAAGCCTCTCCCTACCCCCTAGCTATTCTTTTCACAACAGTCAGGAAGTCTGAAATAAATTCTGAAATCTTACTTTTAAGTTGGCTGTCCATGTATTCTAGGACCATTTTAAATATTTGAATTAATGAAAGAATTAAAGCTCCAAATGCTAGTGATCCTGTGTGATATCTAGACAAATAAAACAAGAATAAAAGTTTAAAATAAGCTTAAACTCTTAACTATCCGGTTACTATTCAAACAATTTTCACAGGAAAAAGGGATCTGCAGAAGAAAGAGATTTTATTCACATGGAGGGACATCTCCACAGAAGGTTTTAAACCATATACATCTGTCTTGTCCTTCATCTATCAACAGTCTATTCTCAAAAAAATAGACAGTTTGACCTGATCAGTGAAGATACACAGCCAAGTTAATCTTTAATCTTTCATTTGGTGTTCTCTTTTATCTCTTCCCATCTTTAGGAATTCATGGGATTTAGAAGAATATTGGCCTGGGTAGAGATTGTAAAACCATGGCTATGAAAACAGACAAGCCAATGGCTGTCCATAAATATTAAACCCCACTCTTAACCTCATTTTTACTTTTCCACTTGAAGCAACTAGCCAAGACTGAAATATGAGCATACTAAATATAACTGAGGATATAGGTAAAGGAGCTTAACATTGGAGCTTACCGTAAAGCGTATCCAAATGCAGTAAAAAGTGGAAATGGTGGAATATCATCGGGTTTTTTCATGGCCCAGTAATAAGCAGCAAAGGCACCAGCAAGGGAACACTGACCCAATGCAATGACAAAGTTTACAAGCCAGATAAAGACAAATAGATTGTATATATGGAAGGTATTGATGTACTGATGGTACAGAGTCTTTCCACCACCATAGAAAGCAAAGTTACAATGAGCTCCCGGGCAAACTCTGGGAATTTCAGTTGTATTAAAACTCTGTACTCAGGAAACAAAACAAAAGAAAACAAAGCACAAGAATAAATTCCACTTCAAAATAACATCTCCCTGCCTTTTTGTCTTTTGTAGCTCCCAAATAGCATGTCTTGTTTTTTTTTCTATATTAGCTTTTGCTGTTACTCCACCATTTTCTATTAGATCACTTTATATAATTCTTTAATGAGCCCTGGAAAGTACCTAATTTTCAATCATATGCTCATCACTCTGCAGCTACTATAATTTCACATTTATTAGTGTTTTGTTGGCCATAACAGCCTCTTGAGTATATGATAGAACAAGAAAACTCAGGAAAAAAAGTGATAGTGCTTTCTCTCCAGTATGCCTACCGTTTTCAATGCTCTCCTCCTTAACAGCTGACCCACCCTCCCATTCTAAGTAAATAGTTATTGTTGCATTTGTGCATTGAAAACTCCATTTCCGGATGAAAACAACTGCAAGATGAAATGCAGTAGAACTCTGTAATGAAGTAAGTACTGAAGAGAGTTTCTTCTACTTACCTCTGGTTCACAGATTTTATTTGAATAGATACATGGCTCATCTGTGGCTGTAACTGTGTACATAGGTATTCCTGATGTAGCCAAAAAACTGAATGGACTCTATTAAGGAAAAAAATTTTTGCTGGGACATTGAAAATAGACAAGAAAATAACACAGATAACTCTAAAGTTTATGGGGAGATGAACTTCAATATCTTCTAATATTTTAATAATTCATTACTTATCACACCTAAGTTAATATAACCTGGCCCCCCTGCCCTGAGTGGCTCCTAAAAACAGTGAAATATAAAGGACCTGTCTTTGGTTATGTGAGGCCAAAAGAAAACAAGTCTACCACATGATTTTTTTAAGGAGAAATTAAATCAATAGACAAAACATTTTAGAGCTTGGAAAAAATATCCAGGTATTTCTTTAGGATGTTCCTTGTTTTCCCAGAGAAAGAAAACACTGAAAATAAATTCCTCTTCCTTAACAGTAAATATGGACTTTTGGATTAAAGAGGTCACTCATCAAAGGATACACTGCAGTCACAACCCAGTAGGAAATGCAGATTAAGAGCAGAAAGAAAGTTAAAACTGGATATAGTAATGTACTAGGAATGCATCCAATGGCTCTGAAATAAAACAAATATTTGAAATTCAATCAGAACTGTAATTTCTCAGTGAAATTTTTGTCTGTTAGAAATAGAAATAAGCCTTAGACTGAATTAATTCTAAGAACCTGATTCTTTTTTACTGATCATTCTGTTTGATTCTTATTTGGTTTTTATTTGTATTTATTACCTTTTCTTTTTAAAGTAAGTTGGGATATTCTTCCAAGAACACTGTTATTGTATCTGGTGTATAATGTATGGCTAGGAAAAACCCTGTAAGAATTTGAATAATGAAGTACAATGAGCATGCTTGATTGCTGCCTAAAGTCCCCCAAACTTTCTTCTATGTAGTTATTTGTGTCTGGACCATAAAGTGCTGATACATTATAATCACGAGACCTATTCCTTTGTTCAGATTGTTAAACTTTTAAAGTTGGAGACCTTGAAGATTTTCTGTTAAACCTTGAAGATCTCCTTCTGAGTTCTTCCCTAATTCAAAAATACCTAGCTGGGTGCAGATATGAATACCCATAATCCCAGCAGCTCAGAAGGCTGAGGCAGAAGGACTGTGGGTTCAAAGCCAGCCTCATCAATTTAGCAAGACCCTGTCTCAAAAAAAAGCAAAACAACAACAAAAACCAAAACAGGCTGGGGGTGTGAGTCAGTAGGTAAGTGCCCCTGGCTTCAATTCCTGGAACCAAAAAAAAAAAAAAAAAACAGAAACAAAACCAAAAACAGTCATAATAACAACAACAACAAAAAACCCTTCTGTTATATTCAAATGAATTCATTTACAAACATTGAGTGTTGGGAACTTACTTTTACATGATACCATTCATTCCATTTTCCTGACAAAGTATTAGGAAATTCTGCATTTTCTAACTATTTGCAACTTATTTCCAGGAAGAAATGTTCATGGTCAATTACCACCATTTTTTGCCATAGCAACCCTTCAAGTAACTCCATATCCATTTTTTTTCTCCTGGATAATCATTTCTTTGATTTCCTCATAGGATATGGTTTGTAAAATGTTCATCATTCTAGCTGGGCTGTTTCTAACTACTACTTACAAATGACCATTTCAGTATATGACAGAACACAGTTTGATGTACCATTTAAAAATATGATGGGAATCCTACTGCTGCAGATGCTTTGACCTGTCTCAGTTCTTTGGCATTTGTTACCTTTCCTTCACTATTTAAGCTATGTTGTTCTCTCTTTTCTTGATACACTGATTTCAAGTGAACTACTGTGTATCCTTAATTTTACTTTGAATTTGCATATGCATTCATTCCAGTCTTTATTTTCCCTTGAGTAAGCTATCAACTTGTTACAGTAGTATTAGCCCTTCAATACACACACACACACACACACACACACACACACACACTTAGGGTCATAACAAGTGGGGCATGTTACCTTGAACTGCACAGTAACATACTATTTTAAGAAATAAACCCAGCAAATCAGTGGTGTTCAGTGGATAATGATAGGGCAACAGTTATTGTGGGAAAAAGAGAGAGAGTTTAACAAACTGCTTGTTGACTATTTAAACCACTGGTTTCAGGTGGCACTATTATTATTATAATAATGTGGCAGTTTGGTTACAATAGTCCTTAAAGATGATTAAAAATAATTTTAGTTCTTGGTCCTTAACAACTTAGTTTCCATCGTCCTAAGTAAAGAGTGTGCTATTGGCTTTATAGGAATGTTCTCCTTGTTTCTTCCATGCATTATTCAAAAGTTTAGAGTAAATGCTATCCTCAAGTGACCTTTTGGAATAGTTTATAAACTATAGGTGTTATTACCTCCCAGCATGAATTTTATGAAAGATTTAGTGTTTATTTTATAATATTTTAAAATAAAAATGGCTCTGTGTTCCTGAATCATGAGCCTTACAGAATGAGTAGTCTGGTGCTGCTAGAATTGTTCCATTAGAAAATGTTGTCAATCATATATAAATGATAATAGCATATAACTGAATTATAGAATCATGGTGATTTAAGTTCTATAAAACATCTCAACTATTAATGTTAATATATGACACAGTAAGGATATAATATAACCTGTAATATAGCTCTTATATAGAACTTCGTTGCTCACTTCAACCTTTTATTCTTCTAATATACACTTGGTGCTCAAAAAAAATTGATACATGGACAAGACAGATTGTATCCTATTTACCCTGTAATAACTGAGGATTTGTTAGCTGGGTGTGGTGGTGCACACCTATAATCCCAGCTACTAGGAAAACTGAACCAGGAGGATCTTGAGTTTGAGATCAGCCTTGGCAATTTAGAGAAACCCTCACTCAAAATTTAAAAAAAAAAATAACAATGAGCTAGGGGTGTGACTCAGGGGTAAGTGTCCCTCGAGTCAATCTTCAGTACCACAAAAAAAATAGAAATAAAAAACAAAAAGGGATTGTTAGTGGTGAATTTTCTAGTAAGAGTCCTCCTGGATGGAAAATAGTTTTCTTTAAGGAGTCTTCTTAGTGGGAAAACTGTGTGGGGAGTGCAACTAGCAGTGGCTGACTTCACTGACTGACTGAGTTTCTATAGTAAGAGCCTTACTTGCTCCCTTCCTTCAGCAGAACAATGGCGACACGGATTCGTCTCCTGAAGGCGATCAGCAAGATGATGACAATCACTTCAATGATGATGAGTATTATCACTTAGAACAGGGGAAAAAATAATCAATACAAAAACAAACTTCCTCCGCAAAAGTTAGACCTGTGCTTTAAGATTATTTCTGTCATTTCATAATTTAAACGTGCTGCCTTTCCAAAATACCAACCTTCTGAGTCAGTTTTAACACCTGCATGATATACTAAGAAATTCAGACTAACACCTTTAGCTAGAGTTTAAACATATCAATTGAAAAGGCTTCATTTTATCCATGAAAACATTTCACACCTCTTGTAGAAATTGAGAAATAGGCAATTAAGAAGGAAGGGTTTCCTTCCATGGTAAGAAACTATGACAGAAGAACTTTTTAGGCTGTTCACCTTGTTCCAATGTCTCTCAACTATCCTTGCTGTCAGGGCAGTCTCTTGGCTACTACATTTTTATTTTGTGACTCCACCCACCAGAGCCACCACTTTTGATGGAACTGGAGTGTAAATACAAGCAAACTTGGCCAATAAACATCTTAGAATCAAAACTAAGGGAACTTAGTTTAGTCCTGAAGTTTATAAGCCTCTTGAACTGAGGGTAATACAAATTTAGTGAACTGTGTCAAATCTATCTTTATGTGAAAAAAGTGAATCACAAAGAAAGAATAACATGTATGTGTGTAAAGAAAAAGAATAAAGAGAGGGAAATTTGAGTTCTTTGGGACTTTTTCTTTTCTTGATGCAATTAAATTTGAACATCCAGCTCCTTTTTTGAGTTTGATGAGCTACTTCTATATTTTTATAATAAATAGCCCCCTCCTCCACCCCTAGAGCTTGTTTCAGTTTTTTCTCTTTAGCTAGCTAAATTAAGTTTTTTAAAACTTAATTTTACATAATCTCAATTATCATGTCCTCAATTCTGAGATGAATATTTAGCAACAAAATTTTAGGGAAAGTAATAATTTTAATATGCATTCTGATTTCAGAAATGTTAAACGTAGAAAGGTATGGATCATAAAATCAAGAAAATATAGTATTACTAATAATAGACCGAAAAGTATAAAAGAAACTTTATAGAAACTTAAAAGCCTACCCAGGAAGGAATCCTTACTATAATCTCCTTGCTAGGTGTTCTATTCATGCTTGAGCACATTCAGTGATGGACAGCTCATTATTCATTCTATTATGATAACACATTCTGATATCATATCACACATCAGTTAAGATGTCCAAGTAAGTAAAATGAGTTAACTTGGAGCTGCAGGAGGAGCTTATGTAAGTATCATCTTGCTTCAACATCTTCTTTTAGTGAAGCTATGTATTTATACTTTCATGCACATTTTATTCTCTTAAAACACTAATTTCATTCTTAAATTGTGGAATATAGCTACTTTATGCTAAAACTGTTATCTTCTGATAAACCTAAGGAAATGACATATTGAAATTGCATTAAGGAACATTGTATATTAAACTTATAATAAGAAAGTGAAATATCAAAATGGTTACCTTAGAGAAATTTAAATGTCTTTTGAATTTATGTACTATGTTGCCCTCTTATGTCTGAATAAGAGTAAGTAATATAAACATATTTGATATCCTATAGAACTGATATTATAACTCTATAATTTAACAGAAGATTAGAACCTGGGGCATAAGAAAACTACCCAGGGTCATGAAGTTAATAGCAGAGAGGAATAGAACTATCTTCCAACATGATCAAGGACTCGTAAAATTATTTTTTATTTGTAAATGCTTATTTTTAGTGTTTTCTTCATAATTTCACATGTATGCTTTTTTCTCTGGTACTTAGAATTTTGCCAAACACAGAGAAAGTAATCAATTAACATCTGATCAATTATGAAGCCACAGGGACTTGTCACTGTATGTTTCCCCTTCTGAGGTTCTTTCTGGACTCCTTATCAGACCTCCCTGAACATGGTAAAGAGCAAAATGAGCAATATAAAAAGGAAATTTTTTTTTGAGCAACATGTAATTAGAGATAATTAAAATCTTGATTAAAGAACATGAATCTCTGAAGTGCAAGGAATATTATAATAAAACCATTCTATGAATATAAGATTAAAGTCATCTTGGAAATTTTGCTTTAAAAACTAATATTACCCTTAACTAATTCAACAATCTGAACAAACATTTTAAAATTTACATTTGTTTTCAGTTACTTATTGCTCAAATTCCTACAATAGTTCAAATGTCTTGTTATGAGAAAAAGTTTCTTATTTTCTTTTTACTTAAACAAGTTTGAAAGATCAACCTTTTATTTCTTTTTGAACATCTTTCTTAGATATCAGGTTACTGTCCATAAACACCCAAAACCCAACCATTTTAAGTTGAAGGCAAATGACTTGAGATCCTTTTAAAGTAATATTTTCTTAGATCATACAATAAATTCTCCTCAATGACTTTTCCATTTGCTATAGCTTGCAGACATTTACCTGTAATTCCATTAGTGGGAAATGTATTTAACAGTTTACACCAACCCATGCTTTCCTTATATGAAGAGATATCTTTTCATTATTATGATAACAAAATTAGTTTTTAAAATCCACTCACAAAATGAGAACCATGTCTGTTTCAATTTAAAGTACATGCTTATGTTTGTCTCAATCCCGATGTCATATATAGTCAGTGTAGAATTTGGGTGGTGCTGAAGATTGTTGTATTCCTGGTAACAGTACCATATTCCTTGAAAAGAAAGAAACACATACTAATGTAAAATGTTATTTTCTGAATTAGAAGCCATATGCTAATCACAAATAACTATGTGAAACTAGTCAGTATGGTCATTTCTACAAAGGTAAGATTCATATTTACATGGTAAATATTTTATTTGGATCTAAAAGTCTAAATTGCTTCTGTATTTGACAGGTTTTCAGTTTTTATGTGGATAACTCTGACTTTAAATGTATTTTTGGTTACTAACAACCTTAATGTCTATCAATAGGAACTGGTTAAATAAATATGGCATATTTGTTCAGTAAGGAAATGTGTTGAAATCTCTCTGGGAGAGAGATTCAACCCAATTCAACACTCAATACCAATTTATTATTTATTAACTTATTTATCCTTATAAATTAGGAATTTCAAGACTTTTTTTTTTATACTGGAGATTGAACCCAGGGTGCTTAACCACTGAGTCATATCCCAGCCTTGAGGCTATCTTAAGACAAGAACAAAAGTTTAGAATTGATATTATTTTAGTTAATTTAATTCTTTTTCTCCTTAATAAGGTATTTTATTTAAAAGTATCATCTGATACTATTATAGTTTCTAAAGCTTTCTTCTGTTTAATGATTGCTAGTATTTTTTTTACCCATCTTTACACTTTCAAATATTGTATTTTCTTTTGTGTAACTTTGTAAATAACAGAGTTCCATCTTGTATATCTGTATTTTCCTCATATTTTTATTGGTGCATTATAATTATACACAATGGTGGGATTTATCATTACATATTCATACATGCACACAGTATAACAATTTGGCCAATACTATTCCCAGGTATTTCCACTTTCTTTCTCTTCCTTCCATTGCCTGATTGCTTTCCTCTACTGATTTCCTTTCAATTTTCATGAGATTCTCTCCTGCCTACCTTTCTTTTCCTTTTTCCTAACTTTCACACATAAGAGAAAACATATGACCCTTGTCTTTCTGAACTTGGCTTATTTTGCTTAACATAATGTTCTCAAGTTCTATCCATCTTCCTGCAAAAGCTGAAACTCTATTGTGTCTATGTACCACATTTTCTTTATCTAATCATCCGTTGATGGACATCTAGGCTGATTCCATAATTTGGCTACTGTGAACTGTGCTGCTATAAACATGGGTATGCATGCTATAGTATACTGACTTTAATTCTTTAGGATAAATACTGAGGAGTATTTATCCTTAGATAGAGCTAAGTTACATGGAGGTTCCATTCCTAGTCTTTTCAAGAACCTCCATACTGATTTCTGTGGTGGTACTAATTCACAATCCTACCAATAGTATAAAGTTTTTCTTTTTCTCTCCAGCCTCTCCAGCATCTGTTATTGTTTGTATTCTTGTTGGCTGCCATTCTGACTGGAGTGAGATGAAATCTCAGTGTAGTTTTGTCTTGCATTTCTCTAAAGGCTAACAATGTTGAACACCTTTACATTTATTTGTTGTCCACCCTCTGGTGGAGGGTTTGGATTTTCTCAATATAGAATCATATCATCAGCAATGACCGCTCATTTGACTTCTCCTTTTCCTAGTCATATCCTTTTGATTTCCTTTCCTTGCCTGATCACTCTGATTAATGTTTCAAGGACTATATTGAATAGGAGTGGTGAGAGTGCACAGTCTTGTCTTTTTCCTGATTTTAAAGGAAATGCTTTTTGTTTTTCTCTATTTAGTATGATTTTGGCTTTGGGTTTGTCATGAATAGCCTTTACTATGTTGAGGTAAGTTTCTTCAATCCCTGGCTTCTCCATTTTTTTGTAACATGAATGGGTGTTGAATTTTATCAAAGGTCTTTTCTACATCTATTGAAATGATCATATAATTTTTGTCCTTAATTTTATTTAAGTAGTGAATTACATCTATTGATTTGGATATGTTGAATGAAACTTGCATCCCTGGAATGAAACCCATTTGATCATGCAGTATTATCTTTTTGATGTTTTTGAATAGTTTACTAACATCTTATTGAGAAGTTTTTATCTATGTTCATTAGGGATATTGGTCTATAGTTTTCTTTCCTTGATGTGTCTTTGTCTGGTTTTGGTATCAGGTTTATACTGGTTTTATAAAATGTATATGGGTATATTTCCCCCCCTTTTCAATTTCATGGAATTATTTAAGAAAGAATGGTATTAGTTCTTTTAGATCTTCTGTAAAGTTCTGGTAGAACTCAGCTGAGAATCCAATAGGTCCTGGGCTTTTTTTTTTAAAGACTTTAAATTGCTCTTTCTATTTTGTAATTTGACATTGCTCTGTTTAGGTTTCCTATATCTTCTAAATTCAATTTGGGCAGGTCATATGTTTCTAGAATTTTGTCAACATCTTCCAGATTTTCTAGTTTATTGGACTATGAATTTTCAAAATAGATTCTGATAATCCTCTGGATTTCAGAAGGGTCTGTGTGATATTTCCTTTTTCATCTTGTTGATATGAGTCTTCTTTTTCTCTTTGTTAGTTTGGCTAAAGATTTGTCAATCTTATTTACCTTTTCAAATACAAAGATCTTTGTTGCATTGATCCTGTGTATTGTTTTCTTATTCTCAATTTCACTGATTTTGGCTCTGATCTTAATTATTTTCGGGTTTTTACTCAATAAACACTTCCTGGTTATTGCTCAATATTTTAGTTCTGTACATTTTAAATTGGACATTACTATCATCTTAAATAGGCAAAGTCTTTGCTGCTTTACCTATATGTTTATCAATTTATTTTCTTTGCTCACTATCCTTTCTTGTATCTCATATCTTTTTGTGGATTCATTTTTCTTCTTCCACTCACTTTTTAAAAATCACAACTGTATTTCAATCCATCAGGAAACAACTTGGTTAACCATTAAGACTACCTCCATTGCTAGCGTCTTGGTCTGAGCTTCCCACATAGTACATGGATTGCTGCAAATGCCACCTTACTGGTCTCACTGATCTACTTTTGTCTCACTGTAGTCTATACTGAACCCAAAAGTAGATTTTTTAAAAAGTTAGGATCTCTGGACTTCAAGTACTCTTCCCTCAATAACATTTCTGCCTTACAATAACAACAGTGACAACAAGAACAGATAGTCTTTACCGAACAAATTTGCTATATGCTACCAGATTTCTAAGTACTGTATATATATTATTTATATTATTGTATTTTATGTTCACAGTTATTTCTTATATTGTTGAATAAACTATGAATTAGAGAGACTATGTACTAGCAGAGGATCACACTGTTAATATGACATGCATCTGGGGTTTCTTTCTTCTTTTTTTTTTTCCCAAATTCTAAATTCATGTTCATGATCCAGAGTTATGGAGACTCCTGTGTTTCCCTTAACTTGTTCTCAGTGAGAATTGTTCCCTTGCTGCACATGGGCCCTCGAACACAAGTTGTCTGCTTTTTTTTTTTCCCCCTTGCTCGTATGACACATCCACATTGTTTTATGTCCTTGTAAACTGGCTATTCAGAGGGAAATGGTTGCCCATTATATGTAGAAATCCAGTAGCAGAGGTCAGCTGCATTCAGTCTTATTTACTTATAATTTCCAATCTAATTGGACATTTCCTCACCATAAGTAGCTTTAAGCTTAATTGCTACATGATTATTTGCTGTGTAAGCACTATCTAAGGAATCAGTAGAGAATTGAAATTGATTGCTTCATAGGCACTTTGTATATATTGACTGTCTTTCTCTTTTTTTCCATTGTCAAAGTTGTAGCATAGCCAATCTCAGATTTCTTTTGCTGCTTAAGACAAGTCAGTGAAGTCAATAGCAGGCTTTATTGCCCTTTCATTCTTGGTGACAATAACAGAATGCTTGAATCACATGCCTAGATTCTCCTCCAGCAAAGAGCAGGGGTTATTTAGAGCTCCAAGTATCAACAACAACAACAAAAAACAAGACTTTTAAATAGAAGTTACAAAGACAATATATTAAAGGTTAATAATTATTTTAAATGTCACTATTTGTGGGGAGGAAATAATCAAATCAAAAGCAAGTAAATGCTTTCTGGTGATTGACAATGGCAAATGAAAAAAGAAAACATTATTCTGATGTTTGGTAATTTTAAGAGGTTTGATACATACCATATCCTACAATTCCAAGTACACCAAATGCAAATATCCAGAAGAGGAATCCAGCTATGAATTTGAGGAGTATCAGAAATGTCCAACTAAGGATCATGGCAGTACATAGGCCTCTAGAGGGAAAAACCCACAATAAACATGGCAGTCAATGTGCTGCAAATAACATAATAAAAATATCAATACAAGACCCATTTCTATTCAAAATAATGCTTAGAATATTTTATTTTACCTGACTAAAGAAACATTTATAATGATAAAAAGTATAAGCAACCTCGGTTTACCTAGGCACAAAGATGCTCATATAGGAAAATTAGGGACTTTATATATGAGCATCTTTGCATGTCAAGATAAACCAAAGCACAGTATCAATCATCAGCCTAGGAAAAATACAATTCCTCCAACCTACAATTTGACCTGTCTGCCACAGTTGTTATGTCCTATTTTTTTTTCGCTTCACAACTACTTTCCTAGGTGGTAAATTACAAAATATATGCATGGTGGATTGTGCTACTCTCTCTACCTGGTGATTAATGGAACACTTCTACAACATGGATGTCTAGAATAGACTTGAACTAGAAAGACAAGAAATATAACTGACTACCTAGTTCCTGAGCTCATAATTTTGTGGTTGTTATCACTATAACATAATTATCTTGAATAATTTGTTGTGCCTTGACATCACCAGACAGCTATCCCAAGTCCCCTGTGAATTGTGGGCCACTGGTAAGTCTTCAGCATCTCCTAGGCCATGTAGCCTTATCATGAAGGACTATTTTCTATTTTAATTTCTTCCTTGAGTTTGACTGAGCTATTGGAGAGGCTTCTATTAGAATCTGGGTTCAGATTCTAAAGGAGTCCCTGGGGTAATTCCTCAAAGGGAATTCATTAAGATTGTAAGCTGGCTGACTCTTTCATTTAGAACTGACATCTCTGGTGCTATCTGCAAGTTTTCAATCATAGCAACAGAAAAACCCTGGTACATTGGTCCAATTCATGGTCTCAAATGTTAAATTAAAAAAAATCTTAATAATTACTGTTGCTGAATAGAGCACAGCACAGCATCAAGATTGCCTTTTCAGATAAACACATTGCAGTCTGTGTTTAATTTCAAAAGACATTCCCTCTTAGAATCATAGGTGCTTAAATATTCAATACAATTGAAGGATTATTCTATAGCATAGTCCAAGGGGAACAATCAAAAAAAGACCAGGGGGTGGTGAGAAAGCTACTTTTTATGTGTTTTAAATTCTTTCATAAAAATTCTAACAAAATAAACTAAGTCTCAGCCTATTACTACTTTGGCTGTTTATTAATTAAACAGATGAGAGCAGCAGAAAAACTGAAAGTAAAGGCAGGTGCTGATTTCATAGTGGTTAAGAGCGGTACCCAGGTACACAGAGTTTCAGTGTGTGTCTAGGTGAGGTGGACTGAGAGTCTATGGTAATGTACACTTGTTTAGATGAGAGTAGAAAAGCCAAATGAATAAAAAACACAGAAAGTGACAGTAGAGTCTGACAGTAGGGAAACCAGTTCAAGTATTGATAGCATAAACTACAACGTCTGCTATGGAGATGTATCGTAACACACTGAAAATTATTATTGGAATTGTTGAAGACAAAGCATTGAAATGAGCAAATCTCACAAAATACTGTAGTATTATAGCTCTAAAATTACTCAGTAATATTTAATACAATTTTAACTTTATCAAGCCCCATACACTTAAATATATTGTACCTATCTTGTCCCCCCCTCCCCAAGTATTTTTATAACTGTTTGGCAAGCCCACATATTTTGTGAATCTACCGCATTCCAAGAACTGTTGTGAGGAGATAGAAAACTAAACATAAGTTGGGTATGATTACCATTATAAAGAGTAGACAGTTCATCAGAGGAAAAAAGCCAGATAGATAAAATACCTAGTGGTAGGTGCTTTGTAGAAGAAAAGTGGATACTTGTATGTCAAGGAATGCATGTGTGCTTGCATGTGCACTCAAAATGGGTGTGAGGAAAATAGAGGGGAACAATTAAAACAATTAATTGACCTAGGGAAGATAAGAAAGGTTTCACAAGTGACACTAAAACTGGTTTTAAAGAATGACGTGGAGCTATTCAGGACTCAGACAAGAATATGGCAGGAAAGAAACAAAAGGGGAAAAATGTGTTGAATGGTCTGGGGATAGGCACATTATTTGACATATTAAAAATATGTGGTTAATTAAGGAACAAGGATGGAGATGACACTGAGAAACTTAGTGAACCAATCATTTCTGGAATATAAATCTTAAACTTGAAAATTAAAAATCCCCTCTTCCATATGTTTTTTCAGCTTCTCATAAATTACAATGCCTCTGATGATGAGGATGATAATTATTATGTGGAAAGGAAATGTTAGAAAAAATAAGAATAATACTTTGGAGGTCAAGGTAGGGACAAATGAGAAAAAATAACCAGAGAAATAACACCACACACACTATACCATGATGAGCAGCACACAAGTATCATAGACATAGAAGTCCTACAGGTACTACTGCAGCTGAGTGCTTGAATGAGCAGTGTAGAATGTAAAATTTATATTTTTATAACTTTCCGCTAACAGTGGGAATATTTCTTTACCCCATTTCACCCTACTGGAAAAAAATGGTACTAAAAGATCTAAGTCAACCTTGTAGAATAAGGAATTTGAAGAATCAGTCTATAAAAGAAATCAGAAAGGGGCTGGAGAAGAAGCATCTATGTGTCTACACTTACAGGAGGATCCAATACCACGTCACTGCGTAGTCCTCAAACACTTTTGATCCAATTGCCCTTGCATCAAGGAGTTTACTGACAGCACTGAATTCAAAGAAGGAAAAATTAATAATTTTTTGGTCAATGTTAAACAGAAATGTTTTTATGATAAAAGGGATTTTTCAAGTTGCTGTTCAAAACATGGTTTTAGAAACCACATATCAGCAGTGACTCTTTTTCTAGCCACATGAAATACCATTTTAGTAAACCTGCAAAGTTGGGAAAACTTCAAAGGTGGATAAGCTTGCCAAAGAGGCCACAGCTGCACACACAGAGAACATGGCTTTTGAGAACAATGCACAGATTCTTCTCTAGTGTATCCAATATATATATTGAGTATATATGCCATCAATACTACAGAAACCTCACTGTAAGAAATAAATTTAAATAAGATCAGTTTGTAATTTATAAAATTCATAGAGTCAAGAATGAATATCATCTTTAGTTCTCCTTCGTATCATCTGACAGCACTGTAGCAGTAAGGCATGATGGAGCACACCCCTAAAAGTGCACAAATCCTTAGAGTCCAATCTGGTTAATAATCAAGGTGAATACACTCTTATAATACAACACTGTCGGCCCTTTCCATGTGACCCAATTGTAATGCCTCCCTCTTTCCCCGAAGTCACCACTACTCTGACTCTTGTGATAATAATTTTCCAGTTGTTTTTTTCATTTAACACTTTTATTATCAATTAATGGGGGAAATTTAATTTAGTTCTGCTTCTTTTTTCATTTAATATCAATGAAATCATACTTCTATTATTATTTTATGAGTTCTTTCACATAACTCTTTCTGAAATTCACCTATGTTGCTATTCTAAAAATGCAGGAGCTGTACTATCATGCCTTTATACTACTTGCTAATGTCTTTCAAGAAAGAGAAATAACAATTTTAGAATACCTCAAGTTTTCAGGATTAATTTTACAACTGAGGTATGCAATGACACTCTGTACATGTTATGTTTTACACACATTGAAGTGTGTGAATATGTGCATCCAGGGAAATATAATTATGTGTGTAGTCAAAAGAAACAGTTAATTTACTGCATTATAGTTAGCGTGTAGAAACTTGATATAGTGCCAATACATTTCCTTATGTCACATTTCTACCCCTATTCACAATGAAAGATTTGACCATTTTGAAAAACATCATTGTTCTAATTCATTCTGTTTTCTCCTTTTATCTACATGCCTTTCTTAATGAACACATATCAAGTTCTCCAATCTAAAGTGACATGTATATGTATATTTCACAATAACAATTCTTTTCCTAAAACCCCTAACCTTACAGGAGCTTTAATATTGGATACAACAACAGGATGCATCAACATTGAAAATGGAAATGTAACAAACATACTTTGAAGCCTCCCTGAGTTCTAGTACATTTCTTGTTTTTCCACTTCCATCTTCATACAGCATCTTATTTCCTACCGTTAAAGAGCCATTTTTGGTTGAGAAGTCAGGCAAACACCTCTGGAGAACTGTAAAAGTAAATTAAAATTATGGTAATCATTTTTCTATTTCTGTCATGATGTCCTTCTTTCTTAAACTTTATTATTTATAATCAAATTCTTACTAGGTATTTAAATGGCTCAATATAGATAGCTAATTGCTTTTTACTTGATAATTTGAAGATTTTCTGGTAGTTCTAAAGCTGAAATAGAAAGCAAATATGATCACAATCTGAAGCTATGTTCTAAATCTTTTGGCAATTTTATACATGGTAAATATTATTTTTTACTTAGTGTATTCACCAAATTGCCACAAATAAGATACATAACACTGGTACATATCACTTTAATAGAAAAGTTGCATTCATTTGTATGACTAAATGAGAATAGGCTTGCTATTTTAAAAAAAATCTTGGATATTCCTTGAATGAAGTTATGAAAACTGGAGATTAGTGAATAATTCCTTGGGAAATAAGAATTGAATTATATAGACTAGTAAAAGAACAGAAATTTTGTTTGTGAATTCTTAATAATTTTTCTCCCTTCCAGATTTTTTATTTACACAGTATTTGGAGGGAGTAGAAACGGAAATTCTGAAGCTATCCAAAGAAGTTCACATTTTGTAGACTAGTATAACTTCTGAGTATTAAATTGCTGTTTGATCTCCTATATTCTTAATTTGATTAAATAGAATCCTTTCTTCTTTACATTATCTATTAAACTATTTTAAGACCAGTTTTAAATGAAGAGTTAAGAGGAATCAAAAATGGATCGTTTTCACAATTTTTAAGAAGCATTGCCAATTTGCATACATGGCTTAAAATAAAATATTAAAGCACTCAGTTCAGAGAAAGAAATATGTTACCATAAAGCCTTTCCTGACTTTCCTGGCTCTCTTTTTCACCCACCTCCAACTTCTTTAGCTCTTATAATATGGCTGGTTCTTCCAGTACCATTCCTATTTTTTCTCTTGCTCTTCACTCAGCTGCTTCACTTGCTCTCAGTCCAATCAGATTTCTGCCCTGCCATGGAAATTGTCCTCCCAGAGACCCCCATGACCTCATCCCACTAGACTTGTTACCCAGAGTAGTGCCTGGCACTAGTAGAACTTGGCCAATATTTGAATGAGCTAACTTTTCTGAGCCTTTGACATGGTAGACACCGCCGCCTTTGTGAAGCTCTTTTCTTGTTTACATGGAGCACGTCTCTCCTACACTATCCTTCTTTTGGTGCATTCTATCCTTTTCTACTCCCTACATATGAGTGTTCCCATCCTTGTTTCTTTCTCCTTTAAAAAATTTTTTAGACGTTGAGGAACCTTTATTTTATTCATTTATTTATATGCAGTGCTGAGAAGCAAACCCAGTGCCTCACACATGCCAGGCAGGTGCTCTGTCACTGAGCCACAACCCCAGCCCTGTTTCTTTCTCTTAATAGTATTTATTTCCTTTTATAAAATCTTTAATGGGTAAACTTTATTAGTGGCATAGTATCCCATTGAGTCCTGGAATGGTTAATTTGAATCATCAACTTCATTGGATTAAGATATTGCAAGGATTAAGAGGCTTATGGGTGTGACAGTGAGGGTGTGTTTAGGAATGATTGGCATGTGGGTCAGCCAACTGAAATGGAGACCCTCTCCAAGCATGGGAAGCACTGTCCAATAGGATGATGGCTTGTATGGAATAAAAATTGGAAGAACAAGGAAGCAGCCCCAAGAGGTTGTTGGATCCTCTTAGGTTTCCGGACTCTGGTTTCTTCACTCTTCATATAGAACTCTGCCAGGGATTCTCCAGACTATGGAGAGTCTCATACTAGGTTAGCACCGGTGATCCCTCTTGTTCTGGGGCTTCAGCATCTTGGACTGTGCAGCTACTGGTTCTGCCAGCTCTCCAGCCTGCAGATGGCCGCTGTGGACTATCCAGCTCCTGGTCGTGTTAGCCAACCTAATAAGTTCCCTTTCTATAATTATACTTTCTTTTTGGTCCTGTTCCTCTAGAGAACCCTGACTAATACAAGTCCTACGCTTGATCTGCTGTTAAGAGGAGTACAAGTTGATTGCAATGTTTTTTTAATCTCTCCCTCACTAGGCTGTGAGAGGCTGTGCCTTACTCATTTTGTATCCCCGATGTACATTTTATATTCTGAAATTTAATCTAATGCTACTTGTAAGGGCAGGGATGTGTCTCATATACTGTATCTTACATGACCAATGATTTATTTTCATAACATTTTTAACACTGTTCTTGGCTACAGACAGCTGTTGCTTAGGGCATCTTGGTGAGGGAGGTTGCTTGCAGGACCTTCATCTTTGCTTCAGGGTCTTTAGTAACCCAGAGAAAAGTCACAGAGCAATAAAGACATGTGCTTGGTGGAAGCTTCTTCAGTGTACTTGACTTTCTGCTTAAGCTGATGACTATTACCTTTCTTCTGTTATTTTATGTTTTGATGATTAAATTATAAAAAGAGATATGAAAATTATTTACATGATGAAAGATCTCAGAACTTTAGTGGAATGGGAGCTTCACATGATATTATTTTGACAGTGATTTAATTCAGTTTACCTACTTTCCAGGAATGTCACCATCTCAAATAAGAAATAAACCTCACCATTTAGAAGGACTGCAGTGCATCCCTATTCTAAGAGAAACACTCTATCTTCAACTTTCATGCTAACTGGCTGAATCTCTCCACTTTTCTTTTAGAGCCTGATCCCACAGCTACCACTGTTGCTTGCCTTACAACCCCCTTGAGATTCTTCTGGAAGCATTTGCCTCCTTAGGTTAGAGTTTTGACTGCACTCTTTTCAATCCATGCTTGGTTTGAAAAGAAGCTTGGCAAATGTTTGTCCTGCTGGACTCCCACCACCACAGTTCTGACTGCTAGTGCGTTACCCCCTGCAAGGAGATCTTCAGTGTGGTCCTCTGGGTGCATGAAAAGTTTCACCTATTTTAAAAGCTGTATATACTAATTGTTGAGAAGTGCATAAATACCAAAAAAAAAAAAGAAAAAGAAAAAGAGAAAAATGCCCATACTTTTGCCACCCCAAACAACCCTTTAATATTTGGTGTATTTCTTTCTGATCTTTTTCTTTGAACAGATTTTCTTCATTTTTTTGTTCATGCTTGTCACTAAAGTGTATATAATAATTTGCATTTTTCACATCATAGCATATATGTTCATGTTATTGTAATATTTATATTTAATAATTCTAACATTTCTTTTAATGAATGCATCATGATTTATTTAAAATTTCTCTTGTACTTGGATATTTTAATGTTTGTCCCCCCTCTTTTTTCTGATTACTTTGAATAAACACTGTAATAGACATCTGTAAATTTTTATTTTTTGGTAGCTAGGATTATATCTTTAAGAAAGGAAAATAAGTGGTTATTTTTCCCTAAACAGAGTATCACTTTAAGTAAAGATTAAAACTTTAAAGAAATAAAATGTAGACTCATTCAGGAGACATAAATATTTCTAATATAAAATCATAAAGACAAGTATCTGCCTTGCTCCCTCCCCAAGGCAATTCTGAACAAACTTTCTGGTTGAATCCAGGTATGTGTGTTATGGGTATGCATGCTTGTAGAATTCCACATAATCAATCAGATTGGCTTTTAAAAGTCAATTTTCAATCTTTTCCATGTGTTTATGTAGCAACACCCCACAGCCCAGAGCGCCAATGAAACACCTCTGGCTAGAGTCAGAAGGATGGGCTTTACCTCAGACTTCTTAATGAACTCTGGGACCCTGGGCCAGACATAGGAACATTCCTGATCTTAATTTCATCAACTGTGAAACATGGAAACTTAATTAAATTACTTCTTGGTAGAATCTATGTTTCCAAGGTAAAATTATTGATACTTACAAGGTTTGCTTGGAAAAATTGCTGCGGGGCAGTCATCATCCAATAAGATTTCTGAGATGGGCTGAAACAAAGGAAGAGTGAATTAAGTTGTCAGAAGTCATGTGAGGACTACTTTTATTCTCCATATAAAAGTTTTATTCCTTCCAAATGTAACTCCATAAATCTCATTGTTCCAAATTACTTCCTCCCAATAATAATAACTATAAGATCATCACACATAAATTATTGTTTGACAAGCTCTTTTAAATGCCCTAACCATGGTTCAATCAAATCAACAGTAATACAACCAGACCCTCTAAAACCAAAGCACACCTGTGAGGGTGTGTGTCTTTGTTTTAGCTATATCCGGGTGTCTAATACATCACACCACCACTCCCACACCCCGAAAAAGAGCATCTTCTCTACTGTAAAAGTCACTAATATATATATATATTTTTTTTTAGAAAGAGTGAGAGAGACAGAGAGAGAGAGATAATTTTTTTTAATATTTATTTTTTAGTTTTCGGCGGACACAACATCTTTGTTTGTATGTGGTGCTGAGGATCAAACCCGGGCTACACGCATGCCAGGCGAGCGCGCTACCGCTTGAGCCACATCTCCAGCCCAAAAGTCACTAATATTATTTAACATAATTAGGCTTTAGAAATCCCTTATAAATCTCAAACCTAGATAGGTTTCTTTTATTGTCATTTAATGAGTATTTATCAAACTAGTCTTGGAAGTAAAATTTGTATTTTTAAGTTACTATGGGGCTCCATCACACATAAATGAAATGGTGATTGCAAATTACATTAAATCCTAACTCTTCACAGCAAAAATTTCCATCCAGGTAGAGAATTTGCTGGTGCCAGAAAAAAGTTGAAGATAACTTACCAGACTTAACAGCCTGTCTTAACACTCCAAGTCTGCACAATAATACTCTATAAATGGGGTGTGTGTTCATGAGTATACATATGCATTTGTGTTTTAATGGAATGGTGCCTTTAGTAATCATTTCTTAGATGTAGGGGCTTGTCCAGTAACAGATGATCATATTACACTTGAGACTGAGACAAAAGTTAAATTCTTCTCTAGTTGTAACCTTAAACACACATACCTTTTCAGGTTCAGCAGTAGGCTGGCAGAATTGACTGTAGTATAACCAATTACTATTATTTCCTTTGTACGAAATTTGTATTTCCACGTAGGTTAAAAATTTTTCTGGGCACTTGGAGACACAGATCTATGAAGAATAGGAAAATAATGATGGCAACTGAAATGAGAATAAATCAGGAAGTATCCATAAGGTGAGACTTGTGAATTGTCCACCAGAATAAAGAGCAAAGCACTGTTTTCTATCAGAAGGATGTAAACCAATTTCTAGTCTTATTGTAAAAAAATTAAATTCCAAATACAGAGTTATCAAGCTCTACTCCTTCCTCTCCAATGTTGATGCTATGTTAAAACAATCAGGTACTATACAGTGATGGGCTTATTGTTAGCTTTTGATTTTAAGATAAATATAGATTCATAGGTAGTTTTAAGGAATAGATTCCACATACTCTTTACTTGTTTCCCCCCTAATGGTAAGAGTTTACATACATATAACAAAATATTACAATGAAGAAATTTATATTGTTACAGTCCACTAAACTTATTTAGATTGCACTAGTTTTATATTCACTCATTTGTGTGTGTCTGCATGGGGATGTAGTTCTGTAAAATTTATCACATGTGTATATTTATGTGACCATTACTATAAGATGATGATGGCCTTTTTTTTTCAATACTAGGATACAACTCAGGGGTGCTCTCCCATGGAGCTACATTCCCAAGCCTTTAAAGAATTTTTTTGAGATAGGATTTTGCTAAATTTCAGAGGTTGGCCTCAAACTTGCAATCCTCCAACTTTAGACTTTTAAATTGCTGGGATTACAGGAATGCACCACTTTATGCCTAGAAATGATGGATTTTTAAATAAAACTTTAAAAATGATTTTATGAATTAGAGCTAAGAGTATAAAATCAAGATTAATTTTGCTGTATACTTTATGCATATGCAGAGTGAGAATCTTGTGTCCTTTTCTAAATATGAATAAGATGGTAGTTCAAAATGTTCTGAATGTTGATAACTTATGCCATTACAATAATTAGTGACAGTGAATTATCAAAACATAATCAGAGTTTTATCCCATAAGAAATGAACAATTATTTAGGGCTACTTGCCACAATCAATCATTATTATAGTCTTTTCCCAACACCATGTAGACATGGGCAGAGAGGTCGTTCATGTAATCATTTTATATTAATGAACTTGGGGTACTATCAGTGCCAAACCAAATCACTCATTCATGGAGCCACCAGGAAGTGACTGCAATTCAATTAGTAATTCCACAAAAAGAAAGAATTACTGTTGGTTTTGCTTTTGTTTATAATTAAAAAAAGAAAGAAAGATCATAGTAAGCCATCTGAGCTACAATCAACCATTAAACATCTCTACTAATTCAGTTTCTTCTTGTGAACTCCTCCTTTGCCCTGACTTGCACCATCTCCACATTGTACTTTGGTAATTATTCTCATGGGCTGACCCCTATAGGCAGTTAGGCAAAAATACTGCTGCTGAGCTGACATCTTTCTTCCTTCTTTTGGGTCATGTTTCTGCTATACACAAGGGTATTTAGTGCTGACTTCACAGCTGTTACTAGGCTAACTAAGTGGACTCCTCAAATCTCAAGTGAACATCGTCTTGTTACAGCAGCAATCTAATACCTTCTAGAAGTTTTGACAAGGTAAACAGCCCATTCCTCCACACTCACACCTCCATATATATTTTCTCTTTCATAGTCTCTCTCCCTCTCCCCCCCACCTCTGTCACACACACACACACACACACACACACACACACACACACACGCGCGCACTTATATACCTCTTCTTATAGTTTGGATGTAGAATGTCCCCCAAAGGCTCATGTGTTGGCTTGGTCCCCAGTGCAGTGATATTCAGAGGTGGGGCTTTTGAGAAATAATTGGATCATCAGCACTCTAGTGTCACCAATAGATTAATCCATTGATGGATTCATAACTGAATGGGTTATGGGATGTTGTAGAAATTATAGGAGGTAGGATTCTACTTGAAGGGAGTGGATCATTGGGGGTATGTTCTGGGGGACTCTATCTCATTCCTGACCCCTCACCTGCTTTTCTCTCTCTCACCCTTCCTGGCTGCCATGAGGTGAGCAACTTTGCTATGCTATGTCCTCCCTGCCCTGATGGTCTGCCTCACCACAGGCCCAGAATCAACAGACCCAAGTGTCTATGAACTGAAACCTGTGAAACCATAAGTCAAAATAAACCTTTCTTCCTTTAATTTGTTTTTCTTGTTTTTTTTGTTTTTTTTTTTTCACAGCAATGGAAAACTGACTAACACACTTCTGGAGAAAATATTAGAGATGTCACAGGTACCCTTCTAAAAAAGCTGAAGAACTATATAGGTGTGTTCACACCATCCAACCTGTCCACATTTTTTGGAAGAAGATTAAGGTTATCATCAATGCAAATATCAAAAGTTCACTCTGATTGCAGTTAATCTGAATAAATTAACATATTAGGAGATATTTCCCAGGCTTGATTATTTACTTAAAAGATGTTGAAAGATAACTGAACTAGTTCCCCTGTTGGATGCATTTCAGTGGATTTATAAAAGTGAGCATTTAAAAAGCTAATGCTTTCATAGGCTTTAAATGATGGTAGGAACTACTGAGTTGGGATCATGACAATTTCGGCTCTTACAAATACACACACCATGTGTACTACACATAAAAGTGCTGTGAATGCAACACAGAAAAGAAAGTAATTAAAATGGTAAAATGTGGTTTGTTAAAGAGAATCACATCAGATTTCATTCCAGACACAAATGAGCTCTTAAAAAAAACCAACACAGCAACTGCTCTTTACTCTTTCTTCTATCAGACCAATTTGTTCACTTCAAATAGGGTGCTGATTAGTAGCAATCAACATATAATTAGCCAAAAATGAAGGTCACATTGAGGTTGGGTATCCTAATTGATCTCAGTCTGTCCTTTAAATGCCTGTGGCACATGTCTGGACCACACTGGCAGTTATCAAAAACTTAATGCATAAAAATATGGCTCAGATCAGTACCACGGCCTGGCAAACTAAGTGCAGGGCTGCATTATCAGCATCTAAAACATATCCTGACTCAATTCTGATTCTCTGTATACCACAAAGGGCACTTCAAGTGTAGTTCTTTGCCCCTATTTTTATATCTCCAATTAATATATGCTAAACACTCTAAATAAATTAGAATGTGGTCATTGGGAGGGTGCATTGCATTGGAGATTAAAACACTATATTTGTTATGAAGAAAAGATGATTTAGTAAATAGTTTATGAAAAATAATAAATAAGCATAATGTGTACTACTTTTTGTTTTGTCATATTAGTGACAGATTTGTATAATGTGGTAGAAAAGTCTTTAACTGAAAGTAGGAAGATATTAATTCACTCATTTATTAATTTATTCATTCCATAAATATTGACTTGTCACCTATGCTGAAACTGTTCCAGGAATTGGGGAGTCAGAAGCGAACAAAACAAATGAGAACTTTGCTCTCAAGCAGTTTGCCTTCTGGTAGGGAGAGATGTATAACAAATAAAAAATAAGCAAATGTTTGTTATAAGATAGGACTAAATGCTATGGGAAAAAAGGATAGAAAAGAGGCTAGATGGGAAGGGATGGCTGGGTGAGATTCCAATCTTAAATAGGTAGGTCTTTCTAAGAAAGTAACATTTGCTTTGCATTTGTAACATTTGACATGAATCAAGCCTTAGAGTCTGGAGGAAGAGGATGGGAGGGAATGAAAATGGTAAAATCAAAGGCTCAGAGGCAGAAGCTTTCTGGGTCCTTTAAAGAACAACAGATGGTCAGTGTGACCTGAGTGTGGCGAGCAAAAGGAGTATCAGAGATGTGTGCTCAGAGAATTGGTCAGACCAAAAAGGATACATAAAATTTATTGGAGCATTTAGGCAAAGAAGAGACATCATCTTACTTTCATTTGAACAGTTCACATTGGTTGCTGGTTTGGAAAGAGACTATAGAAGAGCAGGTCCACACAAGGACAGAGTCAGAAAGACCACTCGGGAGATCACTGAACTGATTTTAGAAAAGAGATGATGGTTCCCTGAGAAAGGGAAGAGGTGGTGGCAAGTAGTTTTGTCCAGAGTAGATTCAGAAGGATGACCAAAGGAATTAACAGACAGTTCAAGCATGGGTATGTGAGAGAGGTATCAAGGATGATTCCATGGAATTCGGTACTAATGTTAATTGAAAGAGAAAAGACTTTTGGGGGTAGGGGAGAAATTTAGGGATGAAGTCAGAGATTAGTAATTCAGTTTTAGACACTTAAAAATTTGTCAACTATACCTGTAAAGACACTACACAGGTGGTTGAATATAAAGCAGATTTTTTTTTCAGATACAAATTAGAAAGGGAAGCCTAGAAGGTGGTGTTAATTCCATGATACTAGATGAGATCACCAAGAGTAAATGCAAAATTAGAAGAGGAAGTTTGGTAAGGAAAGAAACTCCAATGTTTAGGAGATGTCAGAAAGATGAAGAGAAAACAGTACAGGAGACTGATAGGAAACAACCACAGAGCTGAGAGAAAATACAGAAGAATCTGTGCCCCCCAAATAAAATGAAGATGGTATTGTACTGAAGAGAGATTAAACACTTCTACCAGATCAAGTAAATGTGGATTGAGAAATGACTTTTGGTCTAATAATAGGTATATCAATAGGTATAATTTTCAAATTAGGAATTGAAGTAGGGATAAAACCCTGGATGAGACTGAAAGAAAAGGATTTAGATCCCCGAATATAGACCATCTTTTGAAAAAAAAAAAAAAAAAAAAGAGGCACAGAGATGTGGAGCAGTAGCTAAGAAGGTATATGTGATCAAAAAGATTATTTTAAGATGTAAGGAAGAGCAACATGGTTGGATATTGATGGGGAATGATTTAGTAGAGAAGGAAAAATGATAATGAATAAAAACAGGATATTTCTGAAATTATATAATCCAGGATGTGAGACAGGATGAGATCTCATGCACAAAAGGAGGGGCTGTCACAAGAAGCACAGGCAGTTTCTCCCACAGAGAAGAAAAGGAAGGATGAGTATATGATATGAATGAAGGCACATAGGCAAGTGGAGGTCAGAGCAGAACTCTTTCAAACTGTCTCCTGAATGTACTTTCTCATCAAAGCAGGAAGCAAAATCAGGCATGGAGGCTGGGAAGGTTTTGAGGTTGGAGGTAAGAGAGAAAGGTATAAAATTGTTTTCTAGGGAAGCAAGCTAATGAACAGACAGGGGTCTAGAGCAGGGTTGTGGAACAGCAGTAAATACCCACTTGAGGTTAGGCCCTAAATTTAAAGGATTGTTGTGCTCTTTTCCAAGAACATGCATAGGAATAGGCAGAAAATCACATTTAACCAGAAATGAGATTTACTACATTGAAGTGAGAGAGGGCAAAGGAGTTGAGAGTATGTATAAAGTTGCAACTTTTAATAAGGTATGCAGGAATCTAAGTCAGGTAGAGAGGGAGATGAAAAATCAGGGAAATGAGGCACACTTTGAAGGGGGGTAAGGATCAGTGGTTTGTACTTCCCAGTGAGGAAGAAGAATCACTAAATTGGGAATATTATAAATTGAGAGGACCAGACAGTAGGATGCTTGAAATTGAGATTGTAAAGAGTGGTGATTATTGTTACTGACAAGGTCAAATATTTGACCTTGAACTTGGGGGCTTAAATAGAGGTGGTCACAGAACTAAGATACCAACATCCTAAGTGGCAGAAATAAAATTTCAAAAATCTTTAAGGGAAATGAGTAAGCAAAGAAAGTGGATCTATAAACTAGCTCTAGGAAAGATCTTTGGGTACTATTACTGGTACATGGAAGCAAGAAAAAGCACATCTGTCAGAAGTCTACTAAGCTTTGAGATTGATGAAATTCCAAATAAATTATAAGCTAGCTTAGAAAAGCCTGCATCTGTCGAAATATTCTTTGAGGCACTAAACATACACAACAGAAGTTGAGCTTCAAAGCTATATGACTGTCTGGAGGGCTTTGTCTCCGGTGCTCAGCAAGGGTGGGGCATGGAGCTAATGGACAGGAAATAGCCTCCGAGGTGGCTCAGCAAAAGACCGTATAAGGAATGGATGAGGAAGAGCCTCTCATGGAGCATAATTCAGGTCAGAGAAAGGACTGCTTCCCATCATCTTGCACCAGGGACTATTGTGTGTTTATCACTTCTCCCTTTCTGAATGGGAGTTTATATTCTAATTTTCCTACACATTCCCCATTGTACATTTAGTGTCAAGATCTGATGGAGAGAACCATCCATCACCCATAGCACCTGGAATGCCAGGACTTTAAGTAATGAAAGCACATGGGACTCCGGATTCTTCTTTCAGAAGAAGAAGGGTATTCTGGGAGCCAGAGGAGTAGACTATGGAAGACACAATCAACTGTCCATTGAGGTTTGTGACTCTTGTTCCATGGAACAAGTTCATTTCTGAACTACCATTGCTTGATTCCTTCCTCCTTGCATCTAGGGATGACCATACCTAATTTATCTCTATGGCATATGAGTAAAATTGCAATGTGTAACTCTTCTGATCCATGGCTTCTTAGAATGGGGTTGTTAAGGGGGCATGGTGGCACACATCTGTAATCCCAGCTGTTCAGGAGACTGAGTCAGGAGGATTGCAAGTTCAAAGCCAGCCTCAACAAGGTCCTATGCAACTTAATGAGATTTTGTCTCAAAATAAATAAATAAAATGGGCTGGGTGTGTGGCTCAGCATTTAAGCCCCTCTAGGTTTAATCTCCGTTAAAAAAGAAAAAGTGAAAAACAAGAGTAGGGGTGCTTTATTCATTCTTACTATCTCCTTCTGGCAGCTGGATACAGGTGATAAAGAGGACTTAAAGGATGGCAAAGTCATTGGACAGCAGGAGTTTGGAGGAGAGTAGTCCACTGACCACAGACACCTGCCTTGTGCTCTTATGTGGTCAAAGGAGAACATTATGGTGTTAAGTCACTGAAAAACTAGTTAGTTACAGAAGCTAGCCTTCTCTTCCTAATATGATAATGGTCATGAGAAAAATATATCCACTTTATTTGTAAAAGTAGGTGGTTGGATAAGATAATCATTAGGATTCCTTAGTGAGTCTAAATTTTAAATCTCCGTTTAGTTTTGGTTTTCTATGAACAAATGAGATCTTACTTATGTTTTCCCACCACACTTACACAGAACTCAAATGAAATCTCTGAATTATCTCATCCAAAAATGCTCAGAATTTATAACACCTCCAGTCTCATCTTTTCCCTTACCTGTGTGGTAGGGCACTGTAGGCCAAACAGAATGGAAGGCTTGGCACATCTTAACAGGTTAAAGTAAAACAAAATGGTCTTGTTCCTGTTAAAAAAAAGAAAGAAAGCAACATAAAATAATCTTTTTAGTAACCATGGGAATGTTCCATAACATTTCAGATCCCAATACTTTTAACATGTGACCTTTTAAAATTGGCTTCATTTTCTCTAGACAATTGAAATGTACTCTCAAACTCCCCTTTAAGTTACCTAATAATTGAAGCATTTTTTTTTGTAATTGTAAAACACTGAAATGATTAAATTGTCCATCAGCAAAGGATTGGTTAGATCTAAAACTGTACCTTCATTAAGAGGAATATTACATTGCCATTGAAATTAATGTTGAAGGACATAATGAATGGAAAAATTCACAAAACATTAATTTTAAGAAGCAGCTTACTAAAGAGTATTAAAATATGATTTGATTTCAATTTTGTAAAAAGAGACTTGACAAATTATATTCAGGGAAAAATTATTTTATCTAAATATTGGAACCATATTTCTTTAGTTATTTTTTGTGCCTTTATGTGTTTCTTAGTTAAAAGAAACACGTATTACTTCGGTAATCCGAACAAAGATACAGTGCTATTTTTCTCTCTGTTTAAAATTACAGTCCGTGGCAGCTAATTAATCACTGTCTTTGTGTGGACTATTACTCTGCCATTCAACAAATCATGGTTCTCTTCTGAATCTCAATTTCCTCATTAGTCAAATGAAGACAATACCAGCACTACCTACTTCACAGTAGTGTTAGGAGGACTAAGATAATGTGTAGTGAGCAAGACAAGTGGTTATCTAACTTCAGTAAACATAAGTAAAACTTGGGGTATTTATTGAAGATCCTGATTCCTATCTCCTTTACAACCTTGAGAGCCCAATGGCTGAACATGGGGCCCAGGAAAAAGCAACAGTTCCCTTAAGCTCCCCAGTGGATTCAGATATAGGAGGCTTATAAATCACATCTTAAGAAACATAGCCCTAGGTATGAATATTAACAACAAATCCCACCATTGTATACAACTATAATGCACCAATAAAAACATGGGGGGGGGGGAAGGAAATACACTCCTAACTACTCAAGAAAAATGTTTCCTAGCATTTTTTCAAGTCCCCTGTGAATTCATATGACTACATATATAGCATAAACATAATGGGCTGTTGAGCAATATTTTTCCTACTGGCTCAGAATTAGTAAGAAGAATCCAAATCCATGGATAAAGAAAGTCCTCCACAAGGAATTGGGGCTAGATTCTTCTATCACTCTATCCTCTTCTTGCCCCTACATAAACAAAAGATGGAGTCAAGGAGGCAGATTGGAGCAAACAGAGTTGGCAAAATGCAATGATCAGAGTTAAGAGGACTTTCCCTCCCCTCCTCACTGAGGAGAGGGTGGGTTGTCTCTTCTCACATCCAAATTACAGAAGGATCTGAGAGAACCTCCCACAGAGACTGAAGGAACCTGAGAGAAGGGCAGACCAGGACCTCATTTTCCAGTTGAACACCTCCTTCTGTGGCAGATCTGCCTCTGTACCTATTTGAGAATGAAGAAATGAGACCCACAGAGTTGAAAAAAGTTAATGGAGAATAAAGAAGGTAAGAGTGAAGCAGCCTGTCATGGTAGATAGGATGTGGAGTAAAGTAAATGGATTTGAGCCCTCGTGGTGGTACCTTGCTTGACAGTAAAAGAATGTGGATACGAAACACCAGGAATGGAAGAACTAAAGGCATTCGTGGGACAGCAAAACAGAGCTGATATTTCACATCAGACAACTATACAGCCACCCTGTTCCCATGAATGAGCCATTATTTGGATGCTTGCTATAAAGAGAGTATTGATGACCAATCAGTTATGTCTCAGTTGTAATAACAACCATGTGGGAGTGTGTCGGGGAGTGGTCATCAACATAACAAACATACATCCCCTTCCTTATCCTACCATCCTTCACCACACAACAAAAGAGCTAGAACAAGAAAGAGAAAAATGAAGTGAAAGAGTAGACCAGGCCCCTTCTCCCATTCCAAGTTTCTTTGCAGGGTCAAACTTGCAAACCAGCTGGAGGGGATTAGAAAAAATAAGATTAAAATTTTAAATTTAGCTACCCTAAGATTTTAATGATGTATCTGGAAACTTTGCAACAGGCAGGGAGATATGAAAGAGCATGGTTAAAATCAATGATAGAAGAAAAATAAACCTATTTTGTGCTTGTATCCCATTGACGTCAAATGGTTAATGCAGCTGGTTACTAATTCATACACAATATGCACAGGGAAACCTTAGAGATCCACAAGTGTCAGCTTGGCTCTCTCATCACTCAAGCCACTACACCATCCACACAACCTCTCCATGCATATGACTCAAATTTGTACCTAAATAAATAAATTACACGTCATGGATCTTGGGATCCCTAAGGAGAAATTAAAACTATGAATGGTAAATCAGTAAGTGTCAGGAGTCCACCATAGTTAAATTTAATTTATAAACTGCAAAATGCAACATACACTCAATTTATTCACCAGATTATGTTATCCTCAAGGGTGCAAGCGATACTTTATTCATCTTTATGTTCCTACCTTGCCAAAATGTAGTCTAGTACTTGACCCATTATAGCCACTCACAAATGTGGAATGAATGAAACCAATTCCAACATAAGACTTTTCAAAGTCTTAGTTAAAATTCTCTTTAAATTTTCAGTACAAATCTTCTTCCACTTTCTGTCATATATTCAAATTTCAGTGGATCTCACATTCCTTAGAGTACCAATTAGATGATGATGGTTGCGGCTGATCAATTCTGAGGGAGCGATTGAAAAAGTAACTCACTCTTTAGTGGAAATCATATTCTCATCAAGAAATAAAAAAGAGAAACAATAGCAAACTGTAAATTCAAGATGATGTACCATCTCTTCCTGAGACATATTAATATAAAATAATAAAAGTACAAAAAAAGAATAATCATCACACTAGCTAAGGTTATGGAGGGTGAATCTGCTCACAAGTCACAAGAGTTCAACAATACTTATGGAAGTGCACTGAATGATGAATACATCCTACAGGACCATAGAAAGGGAGAGGCATGAATTGCCTGTTAAAAATCATGAAAAATGCTGGACACAGAGTTGACAGTGATAAATGTAGCCAAAAGCAGGAAGATCATTTGAGAGTTTACATATAGACCTGTAGAGTAAATCACCACCTCTATACTTCTCCTATACCCCTATACTCCTACAAGTCCAGCATCCAGGAAAAACAAGTAAAAACAGAGACTTCATATTAAATGAACCTTCTGAGGATAACAAAGACTTGTGGATTTGATATTTTGGCCCACGTCCCTTTATATTATAGTATTTTGAAAGTCATTGCCTGACATCTACCTGGTTTCCCATCAGCTCATGCTGTAGTAGAATCTGACAGCCAACAGAGACCCAAACCCAGACATAGTGCAGAGAGCTCCTTGGAAACTTGACCTGCAAACACAGCAGCCAAGAAAACCCACACATTCATCCTCAGCCTTTCTTTAGTAAGAATGAATGATCACTAATATAAGTGGATGCTAATCCATGGCAGTGGGCGGGGGGGGGGGGGGGGGGGCAGGCGGTCCATGGGAAAAGTGGAGGAATTTTGAATGGGGCAAAAGGGTAGTAAAGACAGTGGAATGAGATGGACATCATTACCCTAGGTACATGTATGATTGCACAAATGGTGTGACTCTACTTCATGCACAACCAGAGAAGTGAAAAATTCTGTTCCATTTGTGTACAATGAATCGAAGAGCTTTCTACTGTCATGTATCACTGATTAGAACTAATAAATAATAATAAAAAGAATGAATGATCAATCAGGAATATGAGGCAAATAAGAAAACAAAAGGAAAAGACTAAGGTAAGCAGACAGAATCTGATGCTGGATGAAATTAATAAAATAATTTAGGGCACGCAGGGTTCTTTAACACACGTCCACTAGGTGTAGTGGCACAAACCTGTAATCCCTGGCTGAAGGAATTGAATTCTCAAAAAATCCAAAGTATGACTAATAATTTTTAAAAAGAGGGCTAATAAAATGCAAGGAAAGGGCTAGGGTTGTGGCTCAGCCGTAGAGCGCTTGCCTAGCATGTGTGAGGCACTGGGTTCAATTCTCAGCACTGCATGTAGATAAATAAGTCCATTGACAACTAAAAATTATTTTTTAAAAAATGCAAGGAAAAAAGGCAGCAAAGAAATAACAAAAGAATGATACCAGACTTAAAACTATATTACAGAGCAATAGTAACAAAAACAGCATGGTACTGGTACCAAAACAGGAGGGTGGACCAATGGTACAGAATAGAGGACACAGAGACTAATCCACAAAGCTACAATTATCTTATATTTGATAAAGGAGCTAAAAGCATGCAATGGAGGGAAGATAGCATCTTCAACAAATGGTGCTGGGAAAACTGGAAATCCATATGCAACAAAATGAAACTGAATCCCCTCCTCTCGCCATGCACAAAAGTTAACTCAAAGTGGATCAAGGAGCTAGATATCAAATCAGAGACTCTGCGTCTGATAGAAGAAAAAGTTGGCGCCGATCTACATATTGTAGGGTCGGGCTCCAAATTCCTTAATAGGACACCCATAGCACAAAAGTTGATAACAAGAATCAACAAATGGGACTTACTTAAACTGAAAAGTTTTCTCTCAGCAAGAGAAACAATAAAAGAGGTAAATAGGGAGCCTACATCATGGGAACAAATTTTTACTCCTCACACTTCAGATAGAGCCCTAATATCCAGAGTATACAAAGAACTCAAAAAATTAAACAATAAGAAAACAAATAACCCAATCAACAAATGGGCCAAAGACCTGAACAAACACTTCTCAGAGGAGGACATACAATCAATCAACAAGTACATGAAAAAATGCTCACCATCTCTAGCAGTCAGAGAAATGCAAATCAAAACCACCCTAAGATACCATCTCACTCCAGTAAGATTGGCAGCCATTATGAAGTCAAACAACAACAAGTGCTGGCGAGGATGTGGGGAAAAGGGTACTCTTGTACATTGGT